GGCATGCCGGGTTGGGAAGGGGGACAGCCTTTCCTTCTTCCATGGACGTGGCTGAGTGCAGGGTAGCCATCCTTCTCTGTCCTGCCTGCCTGAGGAGGGGTCTTCCTGTCTGGGGGTTGCCTCTGGGGGCTTGGGGGCTCCTCGGGGCAAAGCCAGGCTGCCCTGGGCGTGCGATGCCCACGAGCCCTACCTCCGGGGCTGCCCTGCCTCTGGGCTCCGGTGCTGCTGTAAGGCCAGCGCTAGACTCTCCCCGATGAACTGTGCCTCAGTTTCCCCATGTGTACGGGGGGAGCATAAATACTCTCCCAGCTCCCGGATGGGGCTGATGGGTGGTTCTGCATTGGTCCCACCTGGCAAGGCCATCATCTGACAATGAGGCTCAGCCTGGACCCCGTCCAGCTAACTCCCTGCACTAAGGGCCCCTCAGGCCGTCCGGTCCTGCCGCACTCCTCCATCCAGGAGTGCAGGTTATAGGGTGAGTCCGTGGTAGGAGACCCCTGGCCCCGAGTTAATTGTTCTGAGCTGTTTGAAGATGGTTTTGGTCCCTGGGGGTGTCCTTTCTCAGAATCTCCGGTCTACTCTGCTTGCTCCCGGTTTGGAGGAGGTGGTGCCGAGGGCCGGTCTCTGCTCTGTGTTGTGTGACTGTGGGCAAGGTGACAACGCCCTCCTCACGAGCTTGGGGAGGAGCCCCAGGTTGCCTGGGGAACGCCCTGGGTGCAGGGCCTGGCCCCTGGCAGGTGCCCCAAGCGGTCTCCACAAGTGACCCAGCGGGCCTGAGTGTGGGCGTGCGGGGCGGGGGGACGAGGAGGTGGCAGGGCCTGGGGGCCGGCGGAGCTCCCTGCTGACCTCTCTGTGGGTGTGGCCATGAGACCCTCTTGGCAGCAGTGGATGGTGGCTCGGGGGGCCCCTGGGCAGCGGGTTTCATGGGCGGCGGTGCCATGGGTCTTGGTTGTGTAGCCGGGATGGGGAGGGGGTTGCCGGAGCCAAGAGGCCATGGGGGTGTGGACAGCCTTCATTTCATTCCTCTGCCCGCAGAGCCCGCTGCTCGAGGCTGATCTGCGGGGTTTATCTCTGCCCCACCTCGCCCACCAGGGCTTCCATCTGGCTTCCCTGATGGTGCTCTCCTCCCAACCGCCAACTGTCTTCCCAAATCGCTGGCCCTGTGTCACCTTGTCCCCGCCCTTGCATCTGCCACCCTGGGGGCCCGACCAGCTTCCAGGAGTCCATCAGCTTCTGGAGAGCGGCTGTGGAGACACTGGGGCTGTTGGGGCAAAGTGGGCAGCAGAGGCTGGGGGACACCGCCCTGGCCAGACTCCCACACAGAGCCTTCGGCAGCCCAGGCCGGGCCTGCTTGTCCCTCTCCGCAGACCTAGGCAGTGTGCACACGTGTGTCTGTACGGTGTGTACCAGAGGGGAGGCGTGTGCTTTTGTGCAGCAGGGCCCAATATGACAGATGCTCTTGTCACCTGCATATCATTTCCCCAGATATGACCTGAGCCTGGGTCAGCCTCCCAAGTGCTTCCTTTTGGAACTCCAAGCCCCCACCCCCCACCCTCTCCCAGCCCGTGCTTCTTGGTGGCATGTGGGCAGGGCGTGTGGCAGCTGGAGACTCTGGTCTGGGTACAGGGCCGGTTTGGGCGTGTTCACTGAGGGGACCACCGAATGCCCAGGGCTGGGTCTGAGCAGGTGGCTGCAGGGTGTCACAGCCACGTCCAGGCCCGTGCGAGCTACGGTGGCTGGCAAGATCTCTGTGCTCTCAAACCCTGGGGCCCGGGGCTGTGGGCGTGGTGGGTCTTTCTCCTTCGAGGTCCGTGGACTCTGTCCCCAAGCCTGCTTGGTCTGCTTGGGGCTGGGGGCCCGGGGGACGAGCCATGAGAATCTGCTCCTGGAGGAAGGCCCCCACCCCGCTCTGCCCACCCCACCCCTCCAGCCAGCCCAGGCCATGGGAGCAGCCCCGCAGTGCCCGGGCCAGGACAGTAGCGTGGTCTGCACTGTGCAGTGGGCTGTGGGCGCTGTGGGTAGGCCCCCCCACCCCCCACGCCCCGAGGCAAGGGGCAGGGGCCCTGGTGAGCCGGTTTCTGGCTGCACTGGGCAGATGCCTCATGGAACGGGCCAGTGGTGTGGACCTGGGCTGGCGGTCCAGGCTCCGGGGTGGGCTGGGGGAGGGCAGAGGTGTCCTGGCTTTCCTTCCTCAGTCAGCCCCCTCCCCAGGCTACCCCCCCCACCCGTGAGCCCTCTGTGTTCCCTATGTCTCTGACCCTCAGAGAAGAAAGCTTACCAGGTGGGGGCTAGTGCTCTGCCCACTTCACTGATGAGCCAAAGACCTGCCTGAGGTCAGCAGCGGGCCCCTGGGATGTCGAGGGGCCGGGCAGGGGGGCGTGCGGAGGCTTAGCTTGCTCTCCACAGTAAGCCTCAGGCCAAGAAGACCACCCCTGTGGCCCTCTCCACCCCGCCCGCCCCCCGCCCGCCGCTTCTGACCCTGGCAGGACCCCGGGCCATAGGACCACTGCCGGGGAGACAAAACCACACAGAGCCTTGCCGTGCTGGGGGCTCTTGCAGGGAGCCACCCCGGCCCCCCGCTGTCCCCGGTCCCCCGTGGTGGGGGCAGAGGAGTGGGTACCAGGACACAGTGGGGGTGGCATTGGTTGGTCGTGAGCCAGGGAGGAGGTGGGAGGTGGGTCAGGATGGGGGTGCATGCCACAGCCAGGGGAGCCGCCAGCTGGGCCTACCTCTCTGCTTAGGGTAGAGATGCGGGGGCCTGACCCGCGTGCGGGTGCCCCCCCCCAAGGGTACCCACACTGCTGCTTGGGGCCCTGGCTGGGGCCCGGCTCACAGAGCTGTGGTCGCCCCAGCAGGTGCCAGAGGGCTGGGGTCAGAGGTCCACTGAGGGTCCTGGGCAGGGAGAGGCCTCGGGGGGGCTAGCACGTCTCCCGATTGGGAGCCGGTCTGGAGTGGGGGTGGTAAAGCAGGCCTGCAGGGCGTGGCCAGTGGAGCAGGAAGAGAGGGAGGGGGCTCTGGGCTTGTCACAGCTCACGGGGCCACGACGCTGGGGTTATTTACACTGTCACACACTCGTTTCACGATTTTGCTTTTATCGACTCTGGTGTGTGGCAGTCGGCTGTTTGTCGTGTTTATGAAACAGCTGCTTCCTGCGGAGGGCCGCGGCTCTGGACCCACCGCTTTCCTGCTCGTGGGAAACCGGGGCCACCAGCTGACCTCCAGAGAGACGCGGGCACTTGGCTCCGGCCGCCACGGCTCAGGATGACCCTCTCCCGCTGTCCTTGAGGAAGTCAGGTGGACGCTGGGGAGAATGCCCCCCAGGACCTCAGCCGATGTAGGCGCCCCAGGGCCTGGCCGAGGCAGGGTCCTTCAGCGGAGGCCCAGGGGCCGCAGTGACTGTGGGGTCCTTCAGTGGAGGCTGCAGGGGGTTCTGCTCCAGGATGGGGAGACTCTCTGTGAACTGGAGGAGGCTGAGCTGTCTCTGGGAGTCTCCTCGGTTGTCCAGCCTCTAAGGGTGGTGTGGGGGACACCGTGGTCACCCCCTGGTGATGTACCCCGAGCTTGCCAGCCCCCGTGTAGCAGAAGCTGTCTGCAGGCCCCGTGTGTTCCCAGCATGTCGTGGGAACACGCGTGTGCCCTGCGGCTCTCCTGGAAGGGCCTGCTTTTCCAAAGCCCGGGGGCAGCCCTCTGCCATGCCGACCCCTCGAAAACATCCCATAAAGAAACACAGGGTGGGACCCACTGCATTTTGGCCTCACCAGGCGACGTCCCCAGTGGAGCAGGCAAGCCGGGGCAGGGCGGGACTCCTGGCCAGAGCTGGATGGCAGCCTCGGTGCCACCGGCAGGGGGACCCGCCTGCAGAGCTGTGTCGTCAGTCTAGGCTACCAGGTGTGGTCGAGGGCCCTGGGGCCAAAGGCTGGATTTGGGGTTCTGCTGGCTCTGTGGTCTGAGGCGCATGCGTCTTTCCCCTCATCCCAACTGCAGGAGAAGCTGGTTGTTGGGGTCAAAGGGGCAGCACCTCACATTCCAGGCAGGCCTGTCCCTGGGGTGACTCCTCTCCTGCTGGTGGCTGAATGTGGGGCTGTGTCCCTATGACCAGGGCCCCGTTGGGCTCAGGGCCCCTGTTCCGGTGGCAGCTGGCTCCAGGCATCCCTGGTTCCCCAGGACAGGCTCTAAGAATAAGCCTCACAGAGGTTCTCCATTCTGCCTGGAATTAGGAGCTCTTTTGCTGCAGACCCCCTTTCTCTGGGGCATCCTGAAAACGAAGGGTTCATAGGCAGCTCAGCTATCCCACTGCTCATGAACGCAGGCCATCCTGCTTAGCGCCCTCCTGCTGGAGTGAACTCACCAGAAGCTCACAATACCCAGAGGCAGGGCAGGGTGGGGTCTCTGGTCACCCAAGGTTACTCAGCTGGCTAGGGGTGGAGTGTGGATTTGAACCAGCTCTCCTCCTTGGGGGACCATGCCAAGCTCAGAGCCAGCTGACTGCAGAGTCCGAGTCCTCCCCACCATACTGCCCTGCCAGGGTTGGCGAGAAGGCGACAGGACACCACTACAGGTGGACCAGGCTGGGGTGCTCTCTGAGGAGGGCAGGGCCAAGGAAGCAGGCCTGGGGCTCCCGGGGCTCAGGCATCTTCAGCTAGTAGGTCCGTGGGCCAAAGGGTGCCCTGAGCATTTGCCAGGGAGAGCTGAGAAGCCAGCTCCCCTGACCAACCCCAAGGAGCCAAAGGCAGCGGCCTGGGAGGTGGTTCCCAGTGGGCGTCGGGCTGGAGCACTGAACCTCTCGTCTAGCTGCTGGGGCCATGTCCGGGGCTGGCTCCTCTCTCCCGAACCGGGGTCCCCAGGCTGACCCCGTCCAGAACTGAAGCTGGAGCCTGGGGTCAAGCCCCACCTCTGTCCCCAGCCCTGCACTGTGCCCCCTGGCTTTGGCTGAGCCCGCCCCCAGCCCTGGCCAGTCCACTCACCACACACACAGCTATGGGCTCCCGTGCCCTGGGAGGATGGTGGGGTGGCCTGCCCATGGCCCCAGCAGGAGTCGAAGGCCTCGGCTCTGTTGCTGAGTGACAATGGGGTTATTATGCTGTCACAGGCACCCAGAATTCTCTCCCACCCTGCTGAGGGGCAGCTCGTTAGGAAGGCCCCCCAAGCCGTTGCCAGCCCAGGGCCCAGTAGCCCACCATGCCCACCCAGTTTCCACGACTATCCTGAGGGTTTCCATTGTGGGCCAGGGGGCTGGGCTAGGCCGTGACCAGCCGGCAGTGGCCAGCCCATCCTGAGCAAGGATGGACACCAGGCTGCAGACCGGCGGGCTGCCCTGTGAAAGCACCTTCTGACCCCAGGCAGGTGGTGGCTGGGGGCTCACTGGGCTCTGCCCTCGACCCAGCCCTGTGGCCATGTCGACCTTGCTCATGGGGATGCTGCCTGCCGGCCCAGGAGAAATGATCCTGCCCCACCCCAGAGATAACCAGAGGCGCCGCCCCGTCTCACTCTGGCTCCCCGGGGCCCTGGGCAGACCCTGTTTGCGCTGCTGTAGATGTCTGTGCCTGCCCGCTGGGCCAGGCGGGGACCTGGGAGGGACAGCCTCCTTCCCTGGGAGGGCATCCGGTCAGCATGAGGATGGAGGACTTGGGGGCCAGCGTGCCCTACCTGCATGCCTTCTCTGGAGCCTCAGTCTCCCTGTCTGTCAATTGGGCTGATGGTGGCGACTGCCTGCAAGGCTCGAGGTAGCAATTCGAGAGGGGGTGTGCCTGGGGGCGTTTTCTTGGCCCCCCTGCACCTTTCTCGGTTGTGGGCATCCTGAGACAGGAGAGTGAGGGAGCAGGAGGGGTACTGGGGTCGGCGCACAGTCTGAGATGTTCTGCTCAGCACGGCCAGGTCTCCACACCTGACTCATGGGCTGCTTCTCTGTCCCCAGGGAACCCGGGCTCCGTCCACCTGTGGCTGAGGATGATGCCATGGCTGCCCTGAGGTGGCCCAGGCCCTCCCAGCAGCCAGGTGACCTGCAGGGAGCTCCCCACGTGGTCTGGTCCGACCACACCGAGCAGCCAGGCACCCGGGGGAAGGCCCACAGCCACCTGGTATGGTCGGAAGGCGAGGAGGCCAAGGATGGGGACAGCTCGGTGTCATCAGGCCGCCTCTCTGGCTCCTCTGGGGGCCACGAGTCCTGCACATCTCCCCCCGGGCCCTGGAAGGAGAGGCCCCCCCAGGTGCTGGGGCCCCAGCGGCAGCCCAGGGAGAGCAACCCACGGCTGGAGCAGCTGCGGGACAAGATCCGGGCCCAGGCCCAGTGGCAGGCCAGCTGCGCCTCCCTGGGCACCTCCACACTGTCCAGCGCCTCGCGCCTCTACAGAGCCTCCAAGCCAGACCCCCGGAGGAAGGCCGGGAAGCCGATGCACCCCACTCCAGCCCCGTGGGAGGCACTCAGGCCTGGGGCCTCCGTCAAAGGTGCTGTTTTGGGGGCTGTTGAGTGGCTGCTACATGGGAAGCATGGAAGCCCCTCCCGGAACCTGTCCTCACGATGCCCCCTTTCGCTCCTCTCCAGGCTCAGGCGGCCTGAGCGTGGCTCCGTGTGGAGTGCAAGACAGGGCAATCCCCGGCCAGGGGTGCAAGCTGTCCGGGGTCGCCCGGCGCCAGGCCTCAGGTGAGGGGCTGCATGGCTGGCCATCCTGGCAGCCCTGCCCGGACCCTCCGGCGGCCGTCAGGGCGGCGCGGTTCTGGACCCTGGGCTTCCCTCTCTCTTTATGACTGGCGCTAGTATGATCCCGCTCAGGCGAGGACAGTAGAGAGGGCCCCCCCACCACGAAAGGACCAGACACAGACTTGGACTCGGCCTGCCATTCTCCGGAACGGGACCTCCTCTAAACCTCTACTTCCCCCTCGGGGAAGGAATGCGGGCAGGCCCTGCAAGGCAGCCCGGGGCTCAAAGGGCAGGGGGTCTCCTGCACAGAGCGGGTAATGTCTTTCCTGCATGGACACATACCAGCCGTAGGGGCTGTGGCTGAGCCTTCCACCTGGCCTGGGACGTGCTGAGGGCTCGGTCATGGGTAGGCAGACTTCTTGCTGGTGGGAAGGGGCCAGGGGGCCGAGGGAAGGTTTTGGCTTACTCTTTCACTCAACAGATAGGAGGGGTGAGGTTGGAGAGGCAGACAGGAGCCATGCTTGGGGGCCAGAGGGCGGTAGCATTTAAAGAGTCTGGATTGCACCACTGGCCATGGGCACTGGGAACTGCTTTGGAGGGTTTTAAGCAGGGAGCCCCAGTGGGTTTGGGCTTTGGCGGGCCGGTACTGTTTGCAGGATGGGGAGCGGGGGGAGGATATCTCTCTAGTCTAGAAGGGCAGCCTCATTCCCAGCAAGGTTTTGGATGCCCTGCAGTGGGGCAGGGGGACGGGCTCTGGAGCAGAAGTCAGGCTGCCTGGGATGCCCGAGGCTGCTGGGGTCTTCGGCACAGGGGAACAGTATGGGGCCAGGGGACAACAGTGGCAGCAGGCAGGTTAGGTTGGGGCGGAGGTCGGTCAGGATGTGATCTGGGACCCCCGGGGCGCCAGCCGCAGGTACCTTTCGTGTCCCGCCCCAGCTGGATGTGTGAGCGGAGTCAGATGCAGGCCGGGACCAAGGGGCCTGCCGGTCCAAGCCCCGGGGGCAGCGTCCAGCTCTGGCCTGGCCGTGGGCTGAAGCCGCTCCCCGCGCCCAGGTGCCCAGGCCGGCTGTGGCTCACAGAGATCACCCTGCCCTTCTCCTCCTCCACCCACGGGGACCCCAACGGCCTCAGCTCCCCAAGCACCCCCACCCCACGGAGGCCACCGGGGCTCCTCAGCCAAGGTCAGGATTTGGCCGCTAGTCACTCGGGGACTCAGCAGCATCTAGTGTCATCGGTCACCGTTCTTGACCGTCGCGTCTCATCCTCCCCGTTAGAACCCTCTGGAGGCAGGCTTGGGGCAGGGCCTAGGTCTTTTTTTTTCTTTTCAAATTATAGTAAGGTACACATAAGATTTACCACCCTCACCACTAGTAAGTGCACAGCTCGGGGGCGTCCGCGCGTTCACACTGTTGCGCAGTCGTCCCTCTGTCTGCCCCCAGAACGTGGTCATCTTCCCAGACTGAGCTCTGTGTGCGTCACACACAGACCCGTCCTCTCCCCCGGCCCCTGCCCCCCTCCCCTTGTCTGTGGGTCTGACTCCTCTAGGGCCTCGTGTCAGTGGATTCTACAGAATTAGGGCTTTTTTTTTTGTCGGCTTGGGTGCTGGAGGCCCTTCCTGCCAGCAGGTTCTTGGCAGTGAGGACTGAGGGACCGGCCCGGGCCTGGAGAGTTCTTTTGGGCCAGGCTTTTCCAAGCGCCCCTGGCCCTGCTTACACGGCACTGGCTGGTTGGCTTCTTGGTGCCCCCCAAACGCAGCTGCACCCCGGCCGTGGACAGAGACACCGAGACTGAACAGCACTGGGCCTCGGGAAGCTAGTCCCCTCCTGCCGGCCCACTGTGCTTGCCGAGGGACTCGGACAACCTCCACCCCCTTGGGGTCTCCATGTCCCCTCCCGTCCAGCCAGGTGGACCCCACCATGCAAAGCCCCTGTGGTCCTCACTCTGATCCCACCTCCCCCGGCTGAGCCCCTGTCCAGCCTGGCTGGCCACTGCTCCCTGACAGCCCTTTGAGTCAACACAAGGGCTGCAGGTCAGCCTGAGATGGGCAGGGCAGACCTAGCTGGGAGGCCGTTCCTGTCCTCAGGGGCTCTCGGCCCCAGGTACCCTGGAAGTTGTGACCAGTCGGGGCCCCGTGAGGAAGGGTGTGGAGGGCCCAGGCCTGCTGGGGGGCGGGCAGTCCAGGGTATCCCTCTGGCCCTGCTCTCGGCCGCCCACTCTGGCACAGGCCCAAGGAGCAGGCAGGACAGGAGCTTTGCTCCATAGGAGCCCGGGTCCACAAGCGTGGCTATCCCCGTGAATGTGACTGCTCACCTTCCCTCCCTCTCCTCTCCCTGAAGTTCCACGGGAGAAAGCCAGAAGGATGCAAAGTAGTCCTTGCAAAAGGGAGAAGGCCCCCAGATCACCCATCCCCAGAAGAGCCGCCAAAGACAAAGGTAAGGTCTGCCCATTTGGGGCCATGACATGTCCTGGGTGTAAACGTCTGTGACTCAGCTCACCAGGTGGGCACACGGCTTTCTGGCGCATGATTTCTGGTGCTGGGGACAGCAGAGGCCTGGACTGCTGTGGGCCCGGGGACCTGGGATCGGCAGGGGCTTGGGCGGGGGGGTGGGTCTGCAGGGCACAGGGGAAGGGAACAGCGCTGGCGTCCGCATCTCTGGGAACCGCAGGCCCTGGCCGTCACTGGGGCGCTGGGGGTCCCTGCCCATGCAGGGCCCACCCCCATGATGGAGGGAAAGCCCACAAAATCCCCGAGCCCCAGACTGTGAAAGTCTCCAAGCACACAGGGCCACTCACTCACTGTGCCTTCACACACATTTATAGCCTGCACGTGTGTGTGTGAAGACGCACCGGTGATGGTGGGCGGCTGTGAGGTGTCCGGTGGACAGATGTGTTGGCTGGGCATCTGCGGCATCCCCAGGGAGCCACCGTGCAGCAGCCTACAGTGGCCGGGGGGGCGTCTGCAGGAGGGAGGGCTTTCCCTATCGGCCTGGTTTGTTGGACTCCAGGCAGCAAACCCACAACACCTGCTTCACTGAGCCCCTGGTGGCAGCAAAGGCCTTTGGCCTCGTGTCCACGGTACTCGGAGCCGTCATGCAGGGGGCGCATCGGCCGACCATGTCCCAGGAGAGTCCGAGGAAGACGTGGGGACAGTGGTGGGCTTGAGGTCCCAGAGGAATTTCTACCTGGGGCGTCTCTCCCCTGGGGCCTGGCGGGTGGCGGGGTAGCGGTGTCCGGCAGAGACCCAGCTGTCCAGCCTGGATAGGTTTGTGGCCGCGCCCTCGCCCTGGATGCAGCAGTCGCCAGGAGGGCCCCGTGTGGCTTGTGGGGAACGAGGCGGCACTGTTCCTCAGGGGGGTCAGTGCAGAGTAGCTGCACTCCCTGGACCCCAGTTCGGCCACCCTCATGACCCTCCTCCACCACAGGCGGGCTTGCCCCCATCCTGTAGATGGGGACGCTGAGGCTCACAGAGGCTCCCGCGGGCAAGCCAGCTCCAGGCCCGTGCGGCTCACCCAAGAGAGCCCAGTGGTGCATGCTCTGCCTGTGCCCCGCGCCTTCAGACCCACCACCTCTGCTGAGGGCAGCGCCGGCCCCGGCGGGACCATGACTGTCTCCCTCCCCGACGCTGGCTTCAGGGCCCCTCGAGGGAGGCGGGCAGCCGCAGGCCACTGGGGCAGACACATCTATTCAGCAAGGGTAGGAGGCAACAGGAGAGGAGAGAGAGCCTCCACTTGAACCTGACGGTGAGGGATGCTGGGAGCCACGGAGAAGGTTCCAGAAGGCCCACTGAAAAGGCACGAGATATCACAGTTTTCTGCATCATTGTCTCCTCCTACCCCTCAGCTTTTTGGTTTGCTTTATTTTAATGGCTCTCTTGACAAATGACCTGCTTTCTGCCTGACACTGGGTCAGAGGGCTTGCCACGGGCTGCATCCATCATCGTTACCACCGTGTCACCCTGACGGACTTGACCATTAGTTTCTGTCAGTGACCAAGTCACAGCTGGGCTAAGGAGAGATGAGCTTGGGGTCAGAGGTCAGAGCCACAGGACTTGGGAATTGGATGAATTAGGAATTTGCTGTAGTTAACAAAAAATTAAATCGCAATAGTTATAAAATATTCATCCATCCGGGCCGATGGAAAATGAAGCCCAATATTTAATTTCAGATTATAGCCCCTCACTTTGCATTTTTTACCATAGATTAGGTCGGCCCTGGGACTCTGACAGGGCACCTGGGGACTTCATCCATTTGCACAGATTAAAAATCCTCTCGTAAAAAAATTAATTGCCATTAAACTGCTCGGCGGAAGAAAAAATGTGCCCATCAGGACCCATTTATTGACCCGGAGGACCCCTCTGGTGGGCTAATGGGGGATGAGCGACCGGTGATGGAGGGGCCTGGCCATCGGGCAGCCCCCTCGCCCGGGGTGGGGCGAATCCCTGCGTGGTATCCCTGGGGAGGGAGATGCGATGGCAATTTTGTGCAGTTCAGCCGTGTCGGGGGACCAGGGCAGAGGAGACTTGCTGGGGGGCCCAACCCCACTGGTGCCTTTCAAAACCCCGATGTGTCCAGCTGGGCAGTGCCGGCCTCAGCCCTGGCCTTTGACTCTGCCCGGAGCCAGCAGAATCCTGACCCCTCCCGGCCTGAGCCCTGCAGTGAGAGTGACCACTCTCATGTTTGTGGTCCCGTGGGGCGGTGCTCACAGATGGGGAAACCAAGAAAAGTCACTCCCCACCAAGGCCCATAGCTAGTCATGGGCAGAGCCAGAGTTAGACGGGCTCTTAACCGCCAGTGTCCCCGGAGCCTGGTGTGGGAGGGCGTGGCCTCCGGGGCCCTCGCTGGAGGGGTGTAGCTTGTGGAGGGGTAGCCTTGGGGACAGGTCCTGGAGGGCAGGACTGCCAAGGTGGTATAGCCTTGGGTCGTGTCCCAGAGGCCTCGGCTTTGGGGAGTGGCCGAGGTCCTTCCTACAGGTGTGGACTATGAAGGGCATGGCTTTGTGCAGCCCCCTCCCCTTCCTGGGGCCGCTGCTCCAGGCCTGTGACTATCTCTGGGTCTGGGCGCTGGGGGAGGGTCTCTGACCCCAGGGGTCGGCTTTCTGCATGGTCTCTGCTGTAAGGCACCCTTGCTTGGCAAAAACCACCCCTTTATGGGAGGCAGGACAGGTCTTGGCCTGGGAGGTCCAGTTTCCTGCCCAGGGCTGGACCTGGGGGAGATGCAGTGTGCGTGCGTGTGCGTGTGTGCGTGTGTGTGAGCTAAAGCTTGGCCGGTGCTTCCGGCCTCCGCCAGCCACCTGGTTTGTAGTGACTCGGGCTGGTGTTGGCGTTTGGAGAGTGTAATCTGGGAGTATGAAGTAAGAGCTTTGATAAATGATGTTTCTCATGCGACAACATTTGTTAACAAAAGCTCATTGGTGGCTGGGAGGCGGAGGGCGTTTGTGTCTGTGTTCCCTGGGACCCCCTCGTAGGCGGAGCCTCAGCAGCATAAAAGCGAAGACTTTCCCTGGCTCAGGGCAGAGGTCAGCTTAGCATTAGCCTCCCACCCGCGGCTCCTCATGACTACAGTCCTTGCTGGCGTGGGCCGGCGTTGACCGAGGACGTGCGGTGCACCTGGGCCCGTGGCCTTGGTTTTACAGGCAAAGCCGTGGGGAGCGGGTTTTATTACCCCGTTTACCCAGGGTCAGAGAAGTCAGGTCACCGTCCGGAGTCATCCTGGGACTCGGCCCTGCCTCTTGCTGGCCACTGGCTGAGGCTCACCCCAGCTCCTCTGGGAGCGTGTGAAGCAGTCTCTGTGGGCTGCCCAGGGCCAAAGACCTCCCCATCTGGGCCCGCATTCGGAAGGCCCCGGCCGCTCTGCTGTGTGTGCGTTTTCTCTGTTTAAGATTCTGAGTTGGTTGGTGTTTACGCCTGGAGGAAAGGACCAGCCCTGGTGAGGGCCCTGCTTGGGCCCCCTCCCGCCCTCCCCAGACTCCAGAGCAAGGCTCCCTCAAGAGACCAGGCCCCTACCGTGGAATTAGGTAGCTGGTACCCCCGCCTGTGCTGCTCCCTGCTCTGCTGGGCCATCAGGGGGTGGGCGCGGAGGGGAAGGAGGTGGCGTTGGGTGCAGGAGCAACCTCTCCCCGGCGGCCTGTCCAACGCCCTCCAAATCTGCCATCAGACGGGACTTGGAGAAAGCATTATATTTAAAAGCCAAAGAAAGGTTTTCTGCCCCTGAGAGACATGTTTTAGGCTCCTGGGAGGCAGGGCACGGCCACCTAGGCTTTCCCGTGGTAGGGAATGCAGGATGGGAGCGGCAGGGGCTCCTCTAGGAGACACAGGTCAACCCCCAGTCGTGCTGTTTTCACCAAGTCTAGAGTGGGTGGCTCTGTGCCAGGTCGAGTCACCTATATGTGGCACCTGCACCCAGAGGTGCAGTGTCCAAGTCCATGATGCATGTAAGAGCCAAGGGGCGAGCTCCCTGGAGCAGGGCTGAGGTTGCCTGGGGCAGGGAGCTGGCTCTGCTCCTCCTGGGCCCTTACGGCTCCTGACACCCGTGACCACCTGTCTCTGCAGGAGATAGCAAGAGAGTTGGAGCTGCCGAGAGCTCCCCTGTCTGCCCCCAGATGCCCAGTCCAGCCTCTGTCCAAGGTGACCTGCAGCTGTCTGCCAACGCACCCAACCTGGCTTCCTGTGATCAGCCTATGACCATCCAAAACGCTATGGCCATCCTTAGAGACCTCCGCCAGCAAATCCAGGCCGGGCTGGAGCTGGCCCGGCACCGCCACCCCAGGGGAGGGCCGGAGCTGGGGCGGTCAAAGCTGTGTCTGCAGGACCTGGCGGGGAGGAGGCAGTGGGGCCCCTGGAGCACCCCAGACGTGCGGGGCTCCTTCTCCAAGAGTCCTCAAGCAGGGACGGAGGGGAGGCGCTCCTCCTTAGAGAGGCCTGGCAGCTTCCCCAATGGGCATCGCTGGAGCACCCTGGCTGGGTGGGAGTCCTATCCCCAGCAGACTGGAGCGGCCCCAGGACGGAACCCCTCCTTCCAGAGGCCCAGGAGCCCCCCTGAGAGGCTGACCTCCTTGCCTCAGCGGCCCTGGAGTGCCTCGGCCGGGCAGGCTTCCAGGTCCCAGCAGACTGGAGCGGCCCCAGGATGGAACCCTTCCTTCCAGAGGCCTGGGAGCTCCCCTGAGAGGCTGACCTCCTTGCCGCAGCGGCCCTGGAGTGCCTCGGCCGGGCAGGCCTCCAGGCCCCAGCGGACCTGGGCCACTTATGAAGACTGGGAGAGCCCCGCCCGAAGACCCTGGAGCCCTTCTGCCCAGAGGTCCCGGAGTGCCTCCTCCACGCAGGGCGCTGGCACCCCATGCAAGGGCAGAGGCTCCCTCCTGCCGCCCTCCGGAGTGGAGCACGGCTGGCTGAGGCCCGCCAGGGGCGCCCCTGGGAAGGAGGATGAGGTGCGGGTGCCGCCACCCTGCCCGAAGCCCCGGGGTGCCCTGGGCCACCCCTACAGCACCGAGGTGCTGCAGGAGTTCATGCGCCAGAAGACGTTGGCGCGGCAGCGGCAGGCCCTGGAGGAGAAGGCCTCGGCCGTGCGGGCGCTCGAGCTGAGGAACCAGAGGCTGCAGGAAGTCTACAGGAAGCAACGGGAGGCCGTCCTCGGCAAAGCCGTCCCTGTGGTCTCCCAGACGACCCCCGGCATTGTGACCTTTTTCCCGCATTGTGCGCCGTCCAAGGTAGGTGCTGGGCTCGGGTGAGGACGCGGTGCCGGCCAGCTCAGCCCCTGAGCTCCCGACAGCCCCAAATGCCTGCCTCCCCGGGGCTGGTGGAGGAGGGACCCACTGCCTCTGCCCCAGCCCTAGAGAGGGGAGCCCCATGGGGTCCAGCCTGAGCCCCTCTAGAGGGCAGGACTAGTCCTGGGGCTAAGAGACCGGTCTCGGGGTCTTCCGGTCGGGACGGGGATCTCACTGTACTCTCCTCTGCTTTAGGGCCTGGAAGCTCCCGGGAGCCTGGGGTCGCCTGTGCTGGAGTGGAGCAAGGTGACCTCCGGCATGGTGCTGGGGGACCAGGAGGCCCCGGGCAGGTGGGTAGGCAGGCGGGGGCTGCCGCTGCTGGGTGGGGCTCCCTCTGCCCAGAGCGGGTGATCATGGGGGGTGCCGCTTCCCACAGCACATTTACAGTGCACGATGCAGGGGCATCGGGCCATCCCCACCCCGTTCACAGAACATTTCAGCACCCCAAAAGCAAACCCCATACCCGTCAGCAGCTCCCCAGCAGCCCGCCTGCGTTCTGCCTCCACAGAGGCATCTGTGGGGACTGTTCCTATGAGCGGAGTCCCACAGATGTGGCCGTTGGGGTCTGGTTTCTTCCTTGGGGCATGTTCTCCGGGTTCATTCCTGCTGTAGCGCCTGTCAGGCCCTCCTTCCTTCTTCACGGCCAAATAAGACTCCACTGGACGACACTCCACACACTGTGTCCATTGGCTGGCTGGTGGACATTTGGGCCACCTCCCCCCTTGGGCTGCAGTGAATGAACGGTTTGAATGCCCATCTTGTGTTATGGACGTGGGAGTGGATTCACCAGGCGCCTCTATAGGGGAAGACTGCGTTTCACTTTCGGGGAGCTGTCAGGTGGTTCTCCTCACCTGCTGCGTCATTTTGCATCCCTCCCCTAGCAACGGAGGAGGATGCCAGCCGCTCTGTGCTCTGCCAACGCTCCTTTTCTGTTTTGTTCTCTCTTGTTTTTGTTGTTTTCACGATTGTGTATTTTTTTTTTTGGAAGATTGTATTTGTTTATTTGACCGAGAGAGACAGAGAGAGCACAAGCAGGGGGCAGGGGCAGGCAGAGGGAGAAACAGACTCCCCACTGAGCAGGGAGCCCGACAGGGGGCTCGATCCCAGGACCCCGAGATCACGACCTGAGCCGAAGGCAGACGCTTCACTGGCGGAGCCACCCAGCGCCCCAACTATCGTGTATTTTAATTGAGCTGGGGCAGCTGGTCAGAAGACCCCTTCTGGGGCAGCATCTTGAGGTACGGGGTCAGGAGACCATCCCCCACTTTGCTTGGGGCACTCCTGGAGAGTCCAGGTCCACAGAGCGGCCTGGAGGATGCATGGTTTTGAACTGTTTAAAGTTGACGTCTGGTAACACCGACGAGGGTGCAGCTCAGCGCTCACAGGTTCCTGCACCTGGACTGAGCACGACCTGTGCCCAAGGGCTGCCCCGCCATCAGTGGAAAGGCTGGCGGGGGCTCCTGGCCGCCCTGACCTGACAGGGGAGGCTGTGGATCCTTTGTCTTGCTTCCTTGTGTTCTTTCTCCCTCCACATTTTATTTATTTTATTTTATTTTAAGATTTTATTTATTTAGGGCGCCTGGGTGGCTCAGTCGGTGGAGCGTCTGCCTTCGGCTCGGGTCATGACCCTGGAGTCCCGGGATCGAGTCCCGCATCGGGCTCCCTGCTCAGCGGGGAGTCTGCTTCTCCCTCTGACCCTCTTCCCTCTCGTGCTCTCTGTCTCTCATTCTCTCTCTCAAATAAATAAATAAAATCTTATTTATCTGACAGAGAGAGACACAGCGAGAGAGGGAACACAAGCAGGGGGAGCAGGAGAGGGAGAAGCAGGCTTCCCGCCGAGCAGGGAGCCCGATGCGGGGCTCGATCCCAGGACCCCGGGACCATGACCTGAGCCGAAGGCAGACGCTTGACGACTGAGCCACGAGGCGTCCCTCTCCCTCCACGTTTTAAAGACGTCGTAGGGGAATACACATAACATGGATTTACCATCTTCACTGCTTTTAAGTGCCAGTCCGTGCGTTCACGCTGCTGTGTGCAGTCCCCTCTGCCCGTCGCCAGCACACGGACATCTTCCCGCTGGACTCTGTCCTGTTAAACCCCCTTCCCATACCCCCGCCCCCACTCCCGCTCCCCATGTGTGTGGATCCTGCTCCGCCCGGGCCTCCTGGGGGCCGATCGCCGGGGATCGGCCCCTCACTCTCAGGGCCACCCACGTTGTAGCTGGTGTCAGGATTCCTTCCTTTTTATGGAAAAGTGGTGTTTTTGTTGTTGTTGAGTTGTAGGTGTTCCCCATACGTCTGGGCATTGACCCTTCTGAGATCCGGGGTTTGCCATCCTGTCCCCCCTCCTGGAGGCCACCTGCTCGCTCTGTTGACTGTGTCCTTCCATGCACACACCGTGTGCCTTTTGAAACCCTTTGGTTGAGCTCTTTTTTTCTCTTGTCGCCCTGGCTCTTGGCGTTAAACCGCAGAACTCGGTCTTTCTCAGGCCGTGTGTGGCCCCTGTTGTATAGAGGCCCGTAGCCACCCCTCCGGCCAGAGGCAGTCACTGTAAATGGACACGCTCCTTCCCAGAAGCTGCGCTAGGCTCACCCCTGCACGCACGTGTTTTGAACACGCAGCAGAGGATGCATGCGCCGGACCTGACCCCCTCTGCCTTCTCTCCCTGCAGCTTCTGCTTGTGTCTGAACAGAGCCTTGAATCACACTGAGACTCTAGAGATGGGCGGCCCCCAGGATGACTGGGATGGTGCCCCCACGCTGATATCCGCCCGCTCCTCCCCGGGCCCCCTGAAGCTCCAGGACCTGACCACCCGCCCCCCGCGCCCAGGCGGGTGCATCTACCTGGACCCCGAGGAGAGCGAGCGCCTGGGCACACCGGGGCCCCTGCACTTCCGCTACAAGCAGGCTCGGCTCCAGGCGCTGGAGACCATGGCCAACGTCCTGAAGCAACGGATTGACATCCTCACGGCCAAGCTGCACAGGTCGGAGGCGCCGGACACTCTCGGGGACCCGGTCTCGGACCTGTCGCTCTCACGTCGCAGCACTGGGTCCACAGCCCCCGGCTGCTCTGGAGCCCTGGTGCCCAACAGGAGCCGAGGGGCCCCCTGGGACTGGGCAGACATGCCGGCCAGGACACTTGTCCCTCCCACCTGCTTCCTGGATGGCAGGACTCTGCCGTGGAGCCCCGACTGGGAGCGGCGACAGAGCGTGAGCCCAAGAGGCCACTACGACAGCAAGCCCCGAGGTAGGGCTGGGGTCCGGGCTGCGAGTGACCACCAGCCCCGCCAGTGGCCAAGGGGACCCCGCTTTCTCCCTGCACCTCGGCTTCTTCTCCCTAAAGGGGACATAACGAGGACGATACCACAGCAGGTGTCTGGGCCGCCTGAGGGGACGTCGGTGGCAGTCCTGGCAGAGCCTGGTCATGCGCTAAATCTTCCATCAGCTATAGACCTTGTCAGCACCCTGGCCCTGGCGGGAGGAGGGGTGAGGCCTGACCCTGAGGCCCTTCCAAAGAGGGGCAAGAAAGTGGACACGGCCCACCAGGCCCCTCCTGCCATGGGGGCAGGGGGTGCCCCTCCCTCCGTCCCCACCCCCACCCGCCAGGGGTTCCTCCCCTCCTGCCGACTCCTGGGGTCCATCTCTCCAAGGTTTCATTGAGGACGGGCGTTTGGAGCTGGATAACAGGCTGGCAAGAAACACGGCTTCCTTCCAAGCCCTCGGCCCCTTCATCGGGAGGTGAGCCTGCGCGCCCCCCTGCGCCCCCCCCATGCGCCCCCCCCCCACGCCTCGGCCAAGCCACGAGCCAGCGGCAGTGCACAGCTGGTGCACAGGGGTCTGGGTGCAACTGGGCTGCTGGAGGGTGACGCAGCTGCTGACCTGACCGCGAGAAGCCCCCAGACTTGGGTCAGGGCCTGCTGGCTCAGGCGCTGGCCACACGGTGGCTCAGAGACTCCACTCCGGCCGGGCCGTGGGCAGTGGGCTCCTGACCCAAGGTCCCCACTGATGGGGGGACAGTCCCCGAATGCCCCCCTCCCCACGCTCCTCTGCATTGTCTCCCGGCCCCAGCCGGACACTGTCGGCCACACTTGTCTGTGTGATCGGCGGGTGCTCCCCCCCCAGGTCCTGTGCCCCGCGTCTAAGTGCCCAGGACCACCCATCCACAGACCCTGCACCTTCTCGTGGCTTTCCTCCCCAGCAAGGCCTGGGGCCTTCGGGGGCCCCTTTGTGCAGGCCCTGAGTCCAGTTGGTGGAACAGAATAATGGCTGCCAGCAGGGGGCAGCATTGGGCTGCACGGCTGGTTCTCCGCCACCTGTGTCCCAGACCCGGAGGAGAGGTCTGGGAGGAGAGACGCCCCAGAGGTTGACGGGTTCCCCGGGCTCCAGGCAGACACCCCACATCTGCGAGTCCCCCTGCTGGACGGCGGGCAGGGCCTCGCAGACCCAGCAGCTCACACCGCCGGGCATTCCCACACCCAGGCGCTGCGTCCTCCCAGCGCCCCCGGCTCTGACCAGGCTGTGCAGAGTGGTGACCTGGACGAACCAGCAGCCTTGCTGTGCAGGGATCAGCACCCAGGGACTTTGCGGGCCCTTCTGCATCCAGAAAAGCTGCCTGGCCTGTCCCTTCCAAAACAGCAGTTGCTGCTCCCGGGTCACAGCTCTGTGCCCCCTCGTCCAGCTGGTGGCCCTCCCTCCACTGCCCCAAGCTGGTGCCCCTCAAGTTCTCCAGACCCAGGGCCTGGCCCGTCCTGCTGCCTCTCAGGCCAGTTTCTGAGTTGGGGTGGGGCCATGCCCCACACTGTCCATTCCCTGCTGGGACCGTGGGGCTCCGTCTGGTTGGGGATCCAGCCTGTCCCCAGCACGGCACGGTGAGGATGCCGGCTCCACCCTCCAAGGGCCCAGCATCTGGGGAGGGAAGGAAGGGGAGGGGAGGGCACGCCCCTGCAGGGTGCCTGTCCCCACCCGCAGGCCCTCCTGCACCTCGGGCAGTGCCATCAGCACTCTGTGAGATGTGTTCTCATTCCCATTTTACAGATAGGAACACTGAGGCTCAGAGAAGCACAGTGACATGTCAGGATCACATAGCTCGTGGGAGGTTCTTCCTCCCTGCGCATTCCCTAGTCCGGTACTCTCAGACTATGCCCCGAGAACTCGTTAGACATGCAGAGTCCCCGGCCCACCCCGGCCCCCCTGCACCCGGTGCATGAGGCCAGTCCTTGGGATCGTTTGAGAAGCACTGCCCTGGGAAGTCTAGGCCTGAGATCCACAGGGCCTGCGGGCCCCCGCTTGTCTGCGGACAAAGCTGGGTGGGCAGCCAGCCATGTTCATCCTTCACGCAAGGGGGCGGCAGTCCTGCTCACACGGCAGAGTCGAGTCGTGTCCGCAGAGGCAGAGGCTAAGTGGCCTGCAAAGCCCACGTGGCTGCCGTGTGCCCCGTTATGGGATGTGTTTGCCGACCCAGGCTTATTGAACGATGGCTGTGCGGGCATTCCCTTCAAGGAGAGCCGCTGAGCGCCCCTGCAGCGACCTGGTCTCTCCCGTCCCCTCCTGTCCCCTGGTGGTCGCGCACTCCGGCAGCAGCCCCCGCCCCATCCCGGGGTCTACCTGGATTCAGCCCCTAGCCCTGTCCGCTGCCTCCCCAGGGCTGCTCCCTCTTTCCAGGACCCTCTTGCCAGCCGTCTCCCCTGCAAGGCCAGGGGCCGCAGGGTGGGGACCGGGCAGTCACATAGCAGGTGCTCCGCAAACACTTGGGGCGGCTGGAGGAGGGCCATGCCCCCCCGTCAGGCTCCACGGCCCACGGGTGTGTCCTTAGTCACTCGGGCAGTCCTGAGTCGCTGTGCGCCAGGGGGGCAAACGGGACGTGAGGCAGGACCGTGTGCCCCGCGGACACAGGCGCCCCGTTCACACAGTCGTTTCCCGGGCGGGGCTCTCCTGGCCTACCGCTGTCTCTGGAGAGGCCCAACCTGACGCCTTCCTCCCAATCCTGCCCGTGACATGTGCTGGCCAGCCTCAGGGCAAGGGGTTAGAGTGGCCTGAGCGGGGACAGGCCTCCGAGTCCAGCCGGCCGGCTGTGACCCCTGCGTCCGCGGGCACCTGGCCGGCTCAGGCTCCATCTGTGGGACGGGGCAGCGTTTTGGGCCATGGGCAGGTGGTGGTGAGGGTTAGGGCCGGTGTGTCCACCCCGCTCCGTTCTGGGCCTGGTGGACAGTGCCCCTTAGCAGATGGTCGAGGGAATGACAGAGATGAAGAATGTGCTCTGTGCCCCTCATTCCCAGAGTGGCTGTTTTCCCCCAAAGGGCCTGGCGTGGGAGCAGACCCAGAGCAGACCCGGGCTTCCAGGCAAAGGGCATTGTTGTCTCAGCGCAGTGCCCAGCAGTGGTGGTGGAAGCCAAGGCTCAGCTGCCTGAGCTCCTGAGGGCTGCTGGTCCCTGGGGTACCAGTGCAGAGCCCCATGCTGCCACTCACAGACGACGCCCCCCCAAGCTGGGGGACACTGCTGGTGTCGGCACCCATGGGTGCCACCTGCTCACTGCTGCCCTCCTGGTCACAGGCCCATCCCCCTTAGGCCTCTGGTCCTTGGCTTCAGCCTGGGACCTTGTGGGTCTGAGAGCTGCGTGTTCAGGCCGAGGGAAGCTGGGTTACCTCCCCCACCCCGCCCCACCAGCCCTGCAGCTGCCTCGTACCGCATGGATGTTCCTGCCCGACTCTGCTCACATGTGTGTTTGTGTGCCCCTAGCTCACTCGGGGTGCCAGCCATGTTGGACCCCACCTGCGGCTCCCTGCAGCTGGAGGAGATGCCGTCGGCCAGAGGGGCGGCGGGCTTGGTCACACCCTGGACCGCGCGAGGCTGCGGTAAGGGCGAGCCTACGGACAGGCCCTGGGCTGGCTGGTCGGGTGGCCGGGGAGGTCCACTGGGGACTCCCTCCACTGCCTGATGCTCCCGTGTGGTCCTACGGGTTTAGAGAGATCCTTTTCTATGTGGAGAGTGTCCACGCGTCAGTATTAAAGTTTTTTGGAGGCTTTCGGGACCCAGCTGCTGGCTATGTGCTCTTGCCACGCCTCTGTTGTGACTGATACTTGGTCCAGGGGGGCCGTTGACGGCCCTGCTCCCGGACCTCTTCCTCGAGCACCCGCCGGCCCAGGGTTCTGCCTTTCCTTTTGCTTCTGAAGGGTTTTGTCCTGGGTTTCAGATGAGGAGACTCGCCCAGGACAACAGGGCTGGTGCAGAGCGGGGGGTGCAGGGGTGCGTGGGGCGGTGCCCTGCCTGGTGCGCCAAGGGGATGGTGGACTGTGGGGTGCTCCACTCAGGGAGGGGCAGCTGGAGGGGCCTGGCACGCACAGTGGCTGGGGATGTGTGTAGAAGGCGGCCCACTGGGGGTGAGGGGTCTGTGCCATCTTCATCCCATGGCCAGTGTCTCCCACCTCCCCTGCCTCGTGCTCTGGGGGACTCTCCAGCCTGTGGTGGGGGCTGCTGGGGAGCCTCACACCTGGCCCTGCGTCTCCCCGTCTCCCGAGGCACCAGGAGCCTTAGCAGCCTGCTAATTAATTTATTTGCTGCTCTCTCTGCTCTTCCAACTTGTACCCACTGAGCACCTGCTGTGCCTGGTGCCCGAGATCAGGCCCAGCCCTGGAGGCACCTGCTTTTAGTGGGCGAGGCATCAGAAGATGCTCAAGGCAGGACACACAGCATGTCAGGTTCTGAGCGATAAGTGACAAGGATATGTGACCAGCTTCCGGGTAGAGGTTTCCACCGTGTTTCCAAGTCCCAGAGAGTGCGGCCCAGAGAGGGGCAGCGGGAGGCCCAGGGGCCCCCAAGGATGAGCCGGGATTAGGGCTTGGACGCAGGTGCCAGCACCCTGTCCACCCCTGCTGCTCTTCTGGAAGGCTGGCTGAGCCAGGGGATGGTTGGCCGCTGTGAGGGTCAAGGGTGAGTCCTAGTCACCTGGAGGTGGCTGCCTCCTGGCCAGGATCCTGCAAAGGGGGTCAGGCTCTGGCCTTCCCTCCAGAGTGGGCAGCCTTCTCTTTAGTCCTCAGCCCCATTTACCATGCCTGCAGGGCCGAGCAGCCGGAGTGGCTCCTTGCTTTTGGGAGGGACGTCCACGGTGGGGGCCCCGGTACCAGAGGCCCCCCGAGAGGCTCCAGCAGGAACAAGCACTGCTGTCCCTGCAGTGAGGTTGGGGTGAGGACCCCGGAGGCACTGGCTTCAGTGGCTTCAGGGAACAGTGGAGATGGTGCCCCCATCCATCACCTCCACACCTGGGGTCCTGGCTCCCAGGACCCTGGGCACGGATTTATGTTCCCGAAAGCTGGGAAGAACACAGGTGGCCCTCGCCTCTCGACTGTCAAGTGGGGTGACGTGAAGCTCGGAGTTGAGGCAGAAGGCACGCGTCCCTGAGGTTAGCCACTGCGGGGCTCTCAACCTTTACTGCTGCTGTTAGCAGTGCCCTGTCCCTCCGGCCCTCCTGGGACGCCCGGCGCACTTGCGCTCCCTGCGCGGTGTCTGCCCACATGGGGGGGTGGACATCTGCGGAGGGCAGGCAGCCCTACCTGGAGCGCACGGGGAGGGGTGTGAGAGCGGAGCTAGGGCAGAGAAGGGGAGCGTCTCCGCATCCCAAGGGGAAAACCATCAGTCACTGGTTGGAAGGACAAAACACCTGCATTGTGGACTCCCACAGCAGGGGTGAGCTTCCCCCACGGACTCATTCAGGGGAGCAGCGGTCAGTGGGTCCCCTGGGCTCCAGGGCGAGGACAGGCCCTCCTGCAGAGCTGCCCCTCCCCGGAGGCCCCTCTCAGCTGGGCGAGGGGCTGGGCCGAGTTAGAGGGGGCACCATGGCGCCTGCTGTGGGGCCTTGGGGTCCCTAGGCCTCCCACCCACACTGGCCATGCCTTCCAGGGAAAGGAGACAGGGCAGAGCTGTTCCAGTCCCCTGCCCCGTGCCACACCCATGAGCAGCCCTCCGGGAGCCTCGGAGTCTGGTCCGGGAGGAGCTGTTGGCCAGGGGCCCTGGCAGCTTCCACAGGCTGAACCTGAGCCTCCTGGAGAAACCTGCTCCTCTCCCTGGCTCGGCCTCCAGGCTGCCTCTCCAGGAGGTGGGGAGCAGGATGGATGACGAGGTGGAGGCTCACTCCAGCTTCTTGGTCCCTCCCGTGTCCCTCCTTACACTGTCTGTGGGACAGGGCCTATCTCTGTGCTGAAATCCTCTGGCAGGATCTCTTTACCCTGAGGCTGCAGGCAGCCCCCAGGACTCATTTGAGATCTGAGCTGCCCCCGCCTACAGTGGCTGAGAGCAGGGTCTCAGGTAGCCAGAGACCAAGCAACTAGCGCACCCAGAGTGCGTGTGCTGGGCTTGCATCCGACACCTCCTCCAGGAAGCCTCCCAGATAACTCGGGCTGGGCCGGGTCCTGCTGCTCACCCGGTCATAGCTTGCTCCGTGGGCCGTGAGCACCTGAGGGTCTGGCTCTGTGGGCCGTGAGCACCTGAGGGTCTGGCTCCGTGGGCCGTGAGCACCTGAGGGTCTGGCTCTCACTGCAGTTCCAGCCGCGGCCCGCCACGTGCGTGTGCCTGGGAAATGTTTGCCAAGAGTGTGAGTGAGCCAGCCGCTCGATCCGTGGAAAGCCGGGCCGTTCTGCTCTGGAGGAGAAGCACTCCTGAGCGTCCTGAGTGCCGGGGCCAGGCACTGTGTGCCCACGTGGGTCTCACCGGTCTCAGCGACTTGGGGGAGGTCCCATCCTCATGCCCCCGCTTATGGAGGAGCCTGGTGTTCAAAGAGGCACCATCACCTCGAGCCAATCGGTGGCAGAACAGGGGTTTGGACCCAGTTTTTCCTGCTGGGGGCAGTGTTGTCCAGTAGACAAACGTCTAGACCAGCATCACCCAATAGTACTTATTTTCGAGACCACGCTGTCCGGTGGAACCTTCTGGAAGGAGGGGAATGTTCTAGATTCTGGGCTATCCAGTATGGTAGCCGTCAGCCACATGGCTGTCTAGCCAGGGAATGGGGCCAGCAGGACTGAAGGGGGGGCGTGTTAGGTTTAGTTCCTTTTCATTTAATGTCAGTGGTACATGTGGTGGCCGGCGGTCGGGCCAGACAGGGAGACTTTAGCTCCGGGGAGGGGGGCGCTCCCACCCAGGGCGCGGTGTCCTGTCAGCTCCTTCGGGCTTCAGGCCCTGATTCCCCGAGCTCAGCCTCATAACTGAGAACATGCTTGTCGTGACACGCCCGCCTCGGGGACAGCTCGGAGCTCAGGGCCGTGGAGCCTGTGTCTCCATGGTGACCGCCTGGGGTGCTGACATGTGGGGCCAGAGATGACAAGGAACACCCCTCCTCCAGCCTTCGAGCCTCCCGGGTGCCTGCAGGACGGTCCGCGGGCGCTCGGGCTGGCGGGGCCTGGGGGTTCCTGGGCGTTTTCTCTGGCTCCAGCTTCTCTCCATGGCCACAAAACAAAAGCAGAGGAGGATGTTTCGTTCTCGAGGGAACTTCAGCTCAGAAGAGACACTTCAAGCCGGTCTCCCCAGTGGGTCTCCATTCCCCGTGGAGGCCAGCAGGACGGAAGGGCTGCCCCACGCTCAGCACACGTCAGGTGGCCAGAGCCCCTGCTTCTCCCCCGGCCTTCGTGCTTCAGGGTTTTCTCAGTGCCATGGAAATGCCCTGGGGCTGGTTTCGCTGAGGTCCACAGCCGCTCCCGCTGGAGCCATGGAAAGCCGGGCCGCTCTGCTCTGGACGAGGAGCACTGTCCGGGGGACGGCATTCTCCCTGCACACTGACCAGCCCCGACGGTCATCCAAGAGCCACCAGGAGGGCACCAGCCCCGGGAGGGAGCCCACACGCCCTCCTCTGCCCACCCCCACCAGGACCAGGCCCAGAAGATGGGAGGTGGGCCAAGGAGGCTGCAGCCGGCCACCCCTCCGACCGTGGGGCCGCCCCTAGAGGCAGCCGCAGAGGGGCCCAGAGCACCAATGGTGTGCAGAGCCCGAGCTGGCCCCTCCGCTGCCCTGGGGGACTCCCTGACCCGGGTGGGGAGGCTGAGGTTTCTGTGCTCATTCTCTGGAGCAACCCCAGAAATCCCAGGGACGCCTGGGGACCCTCCCAGCTGTGACCCTGACTCCGCAGCAGCAGCTGCCGTCCGTCTGTCCCACACGTGCTTGGGCTTCTCACCGCCGGGGAGGGGGGTGGGCACCTCGTTTCCCGGCCGAGGCTCTGAAGGGCTAGTGATTTGTTCCAGGTCACCCGGGGAGGTCTGTCTGCTTGGCTCCCGCTGTCTCTGCAGACTCGGGCATCGCTCCTGGGGGAGTGTGGCCGAGGGTCAGGCGGCACGAGCCCTGAGCTGAGGTGGAGCAGTCCCAGCAGCCGGCTGCCTCCCGCTGCCGTAGGCTGCACCCGTTCGCCCTCCCTGGATGCTGTGCTGGGAGTTGGGCGCCTGCCCTCCTGCAGGACGAGGGCTGAGGCTGCTCAGCTTCCCCTTCTCCGTGGCTCCCGCAGGTCAGCGCTCCGGGCACCTTGCCAACGTCCCCCGGAAGTCCCCAAGCTTTCTCAAGTCCCTGCAGGTGTGTCCTGCCCCCATCTATCGGGCTGATGACAGCTGTGTCCCCGGTAGGCCTGCCTGGCTGGGGTGAGCGGGGAGCAGCCCACACCCCCCGGAGGCTGAGCGGAGAGGCCTGAGTGGGGGGCTTTTGGGTCATCCCTCCGAGAAGTGGGGCACCACCTGCCCTCTGGGGATTAGGGCTTTGGGGGAGCCATGGGGCAGCCGTGTGGGGCGCCCCCAGGAATCCTGAGGCTTGGGCCCTCCCTGCAGCTGGACCAGGAGAAGCAGGAGCAGGTGCTGACCCTTCTGCGGCAGCGGGCAGAGCTGGAGGTCTGGGAGACGCAGAAGGCCCTGGACCAGCTGCTCTTCAAGCATCAACTGGAGGTCAGCCGGCCCGGCCCGAGGGCCCGAGGGCTCTTCCCAGGCATGCCCCACTCCTGGCCAAGAGGCAGTGCCACCCCGCCTGCCCACCCGAGCCTGGGGCCCTCCCGGGTGGCTCTCTGGCTGCATGGGGGCCACCTGCCTTTGTGGAAGGTCAAGTTGGGGAGGTTGCAGAGGACACAGTGCCACCTGAACCGTGGGCCCTGCCGGAGGCCGGAAGAAGACAGCATGGCTGTCTGAGCTCAGGCCAGCTCAGTGGACTACACACAGATGCTCAGTTTAAAGCAGAAGCAGGGTAACTGGCCGGTTAGCTCAGTTGGTTAGAGCGTGGTGCTGATAAAGCAGAAGCAGGACGTTTTGGCCCACTACTAACCTGGGGGCACCTGGCTGAGGGGACAGATGACCGCCTGAGCCTGTGTCCTGGGTGTGTTGGCATCTGAGTCTTGGGCCCTCTGTTGGAGCTCATGAGCTGATGTCTGCAGGGCACTCAACAGCTCTGGCAGGTCTGCCAGGAGGGGCAGGGGCCCCACATCTCCAAACCACCTCCGCCCAGCCCCCTGCACTCGCTGTTCTGGGGGGTACAGATGGCACCTGGCCCGGCGGCTGGCATCTGGGATCTGGTTGGATGTGATCAACCTTCTCTGTGTCTTTGGTTGGGGGACTGTTGGGATGTACTCACAGTACATTTGGGGAGCCATTCCCAGGAGGGTACCCCAGCCTGGGGGAGCATGTGCACACACAGGTACACGCATGCACCTGTGTGTGCGAGCACCATGCACACCTGCCCCGGGTTCCAGCTCTCTCCTTCCCCTCCTTGTTCCCAGCATCACACCTGCTGGGTGCTTGCGGCTGCTGCAGCTGGGGTGCAGGGCTGTGGTTCCCGCCATCTGATCCCCCAACTCCAGGGTGCTCCAGCCCTGGCCTTGCTCTGTGTCTGCTTGGCACCTGCCGCCCTCCCCCACGCTGCCACGTCCAACCTGGTCTAGGGGGCAGGGGGGGCCTGTGAGCCCCATGTGGAGGATGGACAAAGGAGGCCTCTGAGGTTGGGGCCTCCACGACACACCCCACCTTCCTATTCTTGCAGCATCTGTTGGAGAAACACTCCACCCAGGCCAGGCCAGAACTGGCTTCGGCTTCAACTTCGGAGCAGCCACGGGTGTGTGGAGTCCTGGAGCCGACAACCTCTCCGGACACCGTGACCACCAGACCCAGGTGGGGCCGCAGGTGGGGCCGGCCACGGCCTCCCAACATAGCCACGGGCGGGCCGGCCGTCTCGGACAGGCGCGGGCAGCTGGTGCTGCTGGGGCTGTGTCTCCAGCACTCTCCCCCCGCAGATCACACTCAGCCCTGGGCAGAGACGCTGCCACACCCTCCCAAGGTCCCCAGGAAGGACAGCAGAGTCAGGAGGACAAGTCAGCTTCTGCAGGTGAGAGTCCTCAAAACCACGCACACGGCAGGCGTTCGACCCCGCGCCTGGGGCAGGCAGAGGGGCCCGGCTTTCAGCCACATGCCTCCCCTCCTCCTGCGGACAGGCTCTCCCGGTGCTTCTCCTTCCCCTTCCTGGGCTTTGTGCTCTTGCCGTCGGCATCTACCTTAGACGGTTCGGGAACTCCACGAGTCTCCTTTACTGTTGGAAACACTCTGTCCCCTCTGAAAGTGTCTGCACACCCCCATTTCCCGTGCTCAATCTCGTTGGTGTAGACCCGATTCTGTCTCTGGCTTCAGTGTCCTTCTACCTGAAGGACCTCCGTTAGCATTTCTGGTGGTGCCGGTGACACATTCTCTGAGCTTCTGTAAAGCCTAAGGACAAACTCATTTCATCTTTGTTTTTGAAATATCCTTTGCTGAAAATAGAACTCCAGGTGGATGTTTTTCCTTCTGGTTGATGCGCTGTCCGGTCTTCTGGCTTGCCCTGTTTACGAGAAACCTGGGGTCAGGCTCACCCTTCTCCCACGCAGGAGGCGCTTTTTATCTCTGGCTGCTTTTCCCACTTTCTCTTCGTTACTGCTTTGGAGCTATTGGATATGACAGGTTTTGGTGTAGCTTCTCTTTCTGTCTCTTGTGCTTGGGTTGATGTGAACCTTGCACCTGAGGGTGTATCGTATTCGTCGTGGTGGGGAATGTCCGGCCACTGTGTCTCCTGTGTCTTCACCTCACCTCCTCTCTCCTGGACGTTTTGCCACCTTCGGTTCTTTCTGTGTGTTTGTTTGTTTCTTTTTTTCTTCCGTGTTTCCTTTTGGAGAGTTCCTACTGCTGTGCCTTCAAGTTCATTACTCCTTCCCTCTGCGGTGTCGGATCTGTCACTAATCCCACTCAGCATCTTTTTCAAGCATTTGGGTTTTCACCTCAAAAAGTTCCATTTGGACACTTTTTTATATCACCCCTGATTCTACTTGACTTATTAAACATAGGGAATATAGTTATAAAAGCTTTTAAAGTCCTTCTCTGGCTCATTCTGCTATCTGGGTCGGTTTTACTGATTGATTACTCTCATTGTAGGTCATGCTTTCTTGCTTCTTCACATGCCTGCTGGGCACTTTGAATTTTACCTTGTTGGGTGCTATATTTATGTGCTCCCACAAAGTTGTGAGCTTTGTCCTGGAACACAGTTACTTGGATGCAGCTGGATCCTTCCAGGTGTTGTTTTGATAATTGCCAGGTGGCTATGAAGCAGGGCTCAGTCTGGGACCAAGGCAGGACCTTCTGTGGACTCTGCCCTAAGACCCGTGGATCATGAGGTTTTCCAGCCTGGCTAGTGGAGACAGGTGCAACTCTGGGCCTTCTGCTCCTTCCCGATGCTTCTCTCCCCAGCATGGGTAGCTTCCTCATATGGTTCCCACAGAAGGCTTGTGGGGGACACTCCAAATCTCCAGGTTCTCCCCGTGTGGCTCTCTCCTTTCTGGTCCTTCTTCCGTGAGTTTTAGCTGCCTGGGTCTCTCTAGACTCCCAGCTCCATCTCCTCTTCGAGGGGTCTGCAAGGCTCTGCCTCAGTTTCCCCTCCCTGCACCGCAGCCTAGAAAACATTCTCAAGGCAGTAAGCTGTGACAAGCAGGGGTCTCACCTATGTTCTGTCTCTCAGGGATCACTGTGCTATATTGCCTGATGACCAGTGCCTGGAAAATTGTTCTTTCGTACGTGTGTGTGAACATTTATATATGTATATGTATATGTATATGTATATATACATGTCATTTTTTTGTTTTGTTGCATTTTAAAGTTATTTTTAGTGGGACAATAAATCCACAATCCAATCCCTTTTACTCTCTTGGTGGGAAGCACAAGTCCTCAAATGAACTTTTTCCATCCCACCCAGCACTGAAGAACAGCGGCAGTGGTCAGTGGTAAGACAGCTGCTCATTCCCAGAATTTGGGCTCTGCTGTCACCCCACCTGCTTGGTGCTAGACCTCAGATGGGTCACTCGCTGTCTCTGGGCCTCAGTCTCTCCTTCTGTGGAAGTGAAGCAGCAGAACTAAGTCATCCCCAAGGCCCCTCTACCCTGGGTCTTGTCCTTTGTACGATCAGTGGGTTCACACACAACCTTGCATCGGGACAAAGGAGATGGTGCAATTCCCCTGGTGTGGCCCTGTGAAGATGTGGTGTGAAGCTGTGTATGTGGGGGGTATTAAACTACCCCAGACATCCTACCTTTGAGAGGCCCTCCTGGAGAAAAGGCCCCTGGAACCCCCACATGACCCAACCACCAACTGCTTTCTGTCCTCAGAGCCCCGGCAGGAAGTGAGACCAGACCAAGCTCCCTCCCAGCTGCCCCTGGCCAGGCTCTACCCTCGGGTCAACCCCACCCACCAGGTAAAGGGAGAGGTCCCCTGGGGAGGGGCGTCCAGGGGAGGCACTGGCAGCATGTTTTAGACCCAAATCCTCCAGTTGACTGCCTGGGCCATCAGGTGCTGAGCGCTGAGGCCCACATCTCCTAGAGCCTGCACCCAGGGCGTCTCTGCTGCAGATTCTGGGCTGGGGGAGGCACTCCCTGCCACAGGCATCACCCACCCTTCCCACTGACATCTGCCCAAGCCCCTTCCTCATGCCTGGGGCGGTAGGTGAGAGCAGGCATTTCAACAAAGTTCTTCAGGCAGGCTGGCCCCCACCTTTCAGGCTGCACATTTCAGGGCAGGCCGCCCAGTCTTTCCCCAACCCTCTTGGGCACAAACAAGTGCTCAGCCTGGATCAGGGCTGGGCATGAGACCAAGACAAGCAGGACCCCGCCCTGCCCTTGGGAGCTCACAGTCAGGAGGGGGGTACTCCGCCTCAGGAAAGGAGCCCCGTGATGAGTGAGGCGGGGCAGTCCAGGAGGGCTTCTTGGAGGCGGCGGCCACCCCTGGGCTGGGCACTGCTCCCACCCAACGAGGCTGGTCCCGGAGTGGCCTGCTCCATGTACCCCGCCCCAGCGGAGCCTGGCGGGGCCCTGGAGCGCCGACGCCGCCGGAGCCCCGGGCCACTTCACGCTCCAGATGCTGGAGCTGAGCCTACGGGAGGAGGAGCTGCACGCGCAGCACCAGACTGCGCTGCTGCGCCTGCGCGAGAAAGCACTGGAGGAGAAGATATGCGCGGAGCTGGCCTGGTTGGAGCAGCAGCGAGCGTGAGCGCACGCGCGGTTCCGCCCCCGCCCGGGCCCCGCCCCTGTTCGGGCCCCGCCCCCTGTTCGGGCCCCGCCCCCGAGCCCCGGGCCGGACCGCGTTGCGGGGAACCGACTGTACTGATCCCAGTAGTGATGGGTATTTGCGGGAAGTTAGCTAAGGCAGTGAAGGTCCAAGAACAAATACGTACTTACTGAAACCACCCGCAGTGCCGCCTCTCCCGGGGAAGCCCTGCCTGTTTAGCAGTCCTGTTGAGGGAGACGCTTACGGCTGCTGACCAGCCTTGGGAGTTCACCCAAGTGCTGTTCTGTAGCCTGAGTTTCACCCTGGATCAGGAAAAGCTTCCCGCGCGCCCCTGCCCAACGCCACAACTCGCAGGGTGCCCCGCGCGGGCTGGCCGCGCAGCTCCCGTAGCCGGCCCGGGCTGGGCCTTCCAGCCGCCTCCCGCTCTGCGTCCTTACACTGAACAGGCGGAGAGACTCCCCTTAAAGTAAATGCCTGCGAGCGGGCTGGCTTGTGTCCGTGACATGCATTTTGATGCACTGATTTTTGATGCATGGAGAGCTTCCTGATGGTCCGTCATTGGCTTCCAAAAAGTATACCCCAGCGAAGGTCCTCCCCGACAGTCGGCGAGCATGCCAGGCTGTGCGTGTGCGGTCCCATGGTGCCCCCCAAAGAACCCTCTGGGTGGGCTGGGGCTCCAGGGTGCAAGGCGCTGCCCTCCCTCAGTCTGTCAGGCCCGAAAGTGGTCATGAAGAGTAGGTGGGAAGAGTGACGGCCTGGGCCAGGCCCCCAGGCCCCCAGGGTTCGCCCAGCCTGTCCCGGCTGTGGGCGGGGGCCATCCCAGGTCCACCTGGCTGGCCGGGGCTGGCTGTGTCTGCAGTTTTCCACACCCACCTGTGGATGCCAGGTGAGCAGTGGGTCCTGCCTCCTCCCTCAGGTGTCTGGGCAGCAAGGGGAGCCCCACGGTGCTGGTAGCCTTGGTGGAGAGGCAGCTGCAGGCCCTCAGCAGCCTTGAGCAGGAGCAGGTAAGGGCCAGCTCAGCCCCGAGGGGTGGGCAGGTGACCGGCACCGAGTTGGTCCTGCCACCCTCCCAGCTGGTGTGTGAGCGTTCTGCACCACACCGTGATAATTCCCTAGCCGTCACCACCCTCCCAGGGGGCTCAGGACCCCGTGGTACAAGGGGAGCACCCAGTGGCCAGAGGGGGCAGCGTGGCCTGGACGCCGTGTGGCCCTGCTGTCCTGCCCCCCTGTGGCCTCCGGGAGCCTCGCCAACGGGAGAATGACAGCAGTGTCTGCTGCGGGGGCTGCAGGGGCATCAGCGCGGCCGGCACTGGCCGGGGGCTGTGCACGACCACAGGGGCTCACCAGCTGCTCCGAGCCCAGTGTCCAGGGACCCATGTTAGCCCCCTTTATGCAGATGAAGAAACTGAGGCTCAGTGTAGGGGGCTTGCCTTGTTCAGGGACCCGCAGAGGGGCAGTGAGGGGTGGGGCTGGGTTGACGGAAACCCTCCCCCGAGACGGTCTGTATGGGCCAAGGAGGTGGGGGGGGGGGATGTGGGGATTCCAGGCAGAGGGGCCAACGGGAGCAGACCCAGACAGAGAAATGGGGTGACATCATGGCCGTGAGCTGTGAAGGGGGCTGAGAAGGGGTTCCAGTTATCACATGGCAATGAGGTGGTGAACCGGGTGGTCTGAGCCCCTGACCCCTGGGGCTTGAGCAGGGAGCCCAGCTCTGCCCAGCCTTAGTTTCCTCTTCTGACCTATAAAGGCTGCCGCCTCCCGGGGTGGGTGTGCAAAGACCCGAGCATGTGCTCCGGGCAAGGTGGCTCTGCCGAGGGCTGTGCCTTCAGAGACAAAGCAGGGACCAGAGGGTACCTGCGGACAGTTTAACGAAGGGACGAGTTCAGGGGGTGGGGGCAGTGCCCAGAGCCTGGAGAGAAGGAGGGCTGAGTGGGGGAGGGCAGAGGTGCAGCCAGCTTGCCCCGACCCAGCCCTGGGGGCCCAGGGAACAACACCCTACCTTCCCTCCAGCCTCCTGCTAAGCATCCTGTGGGCCAAACCCATGGGGGGCGAACTTGCTGGAGCAGGATGAGAAGGGCACCTGGAGGGGCTCAGGGAGGGCCCCGCAGGAGCCGGGCTGCCCCCTCAGACACCTGTTTTTCCCACTCATCACGTGGGTCTCTCTTTGTGCGGAGTTGGGGGTTTTGCTGATGCCTCCTCTGTCTGGTTCAGAGAGAAATCCGATGCCTGCGGAACACTCACCTGTTCTCCCACAAGGAGAGGATGCTGCTCCTACAGCATCAGAGGGACATCCTCTGCCTGCGGACGGCCGTGGCGCACCTACAGCAGGAGCTCAAGGCCCGGACCGGGCCGCCTCAGGTGGGCAAGCTCCCCGGGCTGGAGGCTTGTCACCTGTCCCCTGGCTGCTCCGTGGGACAGTGCAGAACCCCTGTCAATATGGCTGCGACCCAGAGCGGGGAGGGCCTGGGGAGAGGTGCAGCGGGAGGGCAGGAGGGGCAGGCACCTCCTGCGGGGACCAAGGAGGTTTCCTGGATACTGCAGCCCTCGTCAGGCTCTGGAGGGGGAGCCAGACCCCCCATGGTAGGGGAAGCCCCTCCTCCAGGCCCAAGGGTGGAGGTGAGAGGCCCAGTGGAGGGGGGCGGTTAGGCTAGAGCTGGGGATGGGGCCAGGGCTGGTGGCGGCTGAGGCAAGAAGGAAGGGTGGCCTGGGCTCCTAGGGGGACAGCCCCTTGGGGAACCCCAAGCAGCAGGGGTGTCCTTGCTCCAAATCCCCGTCCCCACCAGCTGTCCCATGGACGGACGAGGCTGTGTGGACACGGAGTGGGGCAGCCGTCCCCAGCCTGCACGTCTCCTCTTTTGAGATGGGATGTTGATGGCCTCACCTGGCGGGGTGAGGATGGAATGAACTGGCTTCTATGGGTTAGCAGTCATACTGCGGGATGAGCAGCCGGGTGGTGTGCGCCCTGCCCCAGGCCGACCTGCAGGACAGGTGACCCGGGGCAGCCTCAGGCAAGGAATCCCCAGCCCTGGGCCTTATGTCTGCACCTGTCTGGGGGTGATTAGCACAGGACACAGGGCTGCTGGGAGCTTAGAACCACCTGTTTGAGCTGGTGAGAACACCTGCTTCAGCACCACACACCGGGCAACCAGCGGCCTCGCCACATGAAGCCTGCCCCCTGCTTTGCCTGAGAGACAGGTGTATGTCACACGGCTCCCTTGTGCTGTTTCTCAGAGGTCTGGCCCCGAAGTCAAGCCTGCTCAGACGGAGGGGCCAGCACAGGGCTCCTCACGCCCCTCGACACCACATGGGCCTGGCAGCCCCACCAGCCCCAACCCCTGGAGAAGCCCTGAGAGCCCAGGCGCCCAACAGTGAGTTGCCACCGGCAGTCCTGGCCCCATGCTCACCATTAAAAGCCTTTCCTGTGCTGAGTGGCCCCTGTGCTCATGGCTGCCGGGCCCTGTACCTCTCAGCCCTGCTGAGGGGAGGGCGGCCCTGGGGACCCCGAGGGGGCCCTGCTCCAGCTGGCAGCCCATGGGGATGTGGGCAGAGGCCAGAGCGGCCCTGGCCCGGCAGGAGGAACACAGCGCTGGCTCGTTCCTAGCCAGGCAGCTGGCTACGGTGTGGCCCTGGGGTCCCCTCCCTTCCTGAGCCTGCTTCCTCATCTGTGAAACAGAGACAGGGCTGCCACCATCCCTGGGCTATGCGGGGAGCAGCGAGACAAAGCAAGTAGATGGGCCTTGCTCGGGGGCAGTGTGTCCCCCCCCTCAGCTGCCAGGAGCCCCTCCGAGGCCGGTGTGGGCTGTCCTGCCTGCTGAGGCGGCTGAGCCTTCTCTCACAGGATGGCCACGTGGCCGCTGGTTTCGTTTCGCAGCAAAAGGGCCTCCCCTGGCTGACAAGGGGGGCCCTGCCCAGGCTGAGTCACCGAGGGGGCGGCAGAGGCGTCCGATGCCAGGTGCCACCTGACCCAGAGCCCCGCTGTGGGGGAGAGCAAGCTACTTTTCCCATCAAGAGTGTCCTCCATCCCTACACTGGGAACGCCTCCTTCCCTTCTGTCTTAAATAAAATGGCCCCAGGGCTGTCGGCCTTTATTAGCCAGACTAATCACAGCAATCTGGGGGTGAGGACGCAGGAGGCAGCCCTCACGCCGGGAGGGGCTCACCGCCCCACCCCCCCCAGGAGCGGCCTTCACGGGGACCCCTGCCTGCCTGTAGGAGCCCCAGTGCCTCCAGCAGCCCTCTTCCTGCGTGGAGGGACCCTTTGCAGGCCACCACCGCGCAAGGGGGTCATAGTCCACTCAGCTGCCCAGCCATGAGCCCCACTTGGCTTCCCTGTAAGAGCCCATCTCAAATAAATCTCAGCATGGACTGATCTACCCTTCACGTTGCTATGGATTGCCAGGCCTGGGGATCTCTGAGGAGGTTTCCAGGCTGACTGTACCCTCCCGGTACCCAGGAGCTCACTGGGAAGGCTGTGTGGGCGGGGCCGAGAGCGCAGGCGGTGGGGGGGGCGGGGGGGGCAGGCCTGGGCCCCCGTGGGAGCCAGCCGTCCTCCTAGGGGGCAAGGCCCCCTTTGCTTTTCTCATCACACCAGTGAGGCAATAGTCACTGTTGTAGAGTTAGGGAACAGAGAAGCTGGGTACAAAGAAGGAAAAATTTCGGATTTTTTATAACCACTCCCTCCCTCACTGAGAGAGATGTTTGACTTTTTGCTGGAGGTCACGCCACGCAGAGAACAGAGGTACTTCATTCTTTTGCTCAGGCAAGGGGAGCTCAGCAGAGCTCTGAGTGGGTCAGGGCCCAGGTGCATCCTGGAGCTAGTGCCCGTGGGCCACTCCCTGCACTCAGTGCCCCTCCAGGGCTCCTGGCCTGAGACCCTGGGTGTGGGGAGGGGGTGGGAGGGACGATGAGCCTTTTAAAGGGCAAGGGGGCTCCAATTCCAGGTTATTTAGCCTGTCCAGCTCCCGAGGCAGCGCTGAGGGGTGGGTGATGGGCTCAGGTGCAGCGGCCCCCTTGCTCCATCCTCTACATCCTTGCTCCTGGGGCCGGGCAGGGGCCTGCGTCTGGGACACCCCGGTGTGGACAGCTGCCTCCCAGGCCTTGCCCCAGAGAAGTCAGAGCTCCAGCCCCTGAGTTGTCCCCTCCTTCAAAAAGGCTCAAGATTACAGGCACTAAAGATGGCCCTATGACCCCACTCCCTGTTCACACTCCCGACGCGGTGTGACCCCACTCGGGGGAGACGCTCGGGGCCGCCCTTGGCGGGGGGGCAGCCTGAGATGCCCAGCTGTAGCGAACAGAAGCAAGGCAAGCCAGAGAGTGGCGGCCGTGTCCCAGCAGGCCTCCCCACCACACTGACCTTCAGTCCAGGGGTCAGGAGACCCGGCAGCCTTGCCCCCCAGCTGCCTCCTTGAGGCTGTGACGATGGGGGAGGGGGTTCCTCATGCCGGTCCATGTGCCCAGAGCATGGCAGTGGGTCTGGGCGTGTGGCGTCCAGGCCTCCGACCTGCTGGGCATCCCAGAGCTGAGGTCGGCCCAGCGGCCGGTCTCCATGCAGAAATCTTGACAGAACACCCTGTGCTGGGGGACAGACACCTCCCTCCTGCCATGCCCCAGCCCTGTGCCTGTGCTCTGTCAGCCCCCAACAATGGCCCCATCTGGGGGCAATGGCCCCTGCTTGGGAAGGTGCCTGGTGGGCAGGCCCCAGGCCCTGTTTTCCCTCACCTGCGCGCTGCCCACTCGGCCACCGTCCATGCCCTGGACGCATGCTGTCCCACTCGGGGAGTGTCCTGGTCAGGGCTCGTCACCCGGGGAGGGCACAGCCCGGACAGACGGTCACAGGCCCTCTGCACTCACTGCCTTGCAGCCTTCCCACCGGGCAGGAGGACGGGACCCTGCCCCAGGCCACTTCAGCCACGGATAGTCCCCGGCCGCCTCCAAGGCCAGTGTGCGGAGAGGACACGCCTGTGGCCGGCGGCTGGCCTGACGCTGGGGGCCGGCTGGCGGAGGAGAGCCAGAGCCCTGTGAGCCAAGGTAACCCAGCAGGGCAGCCGAGGACCGACGGTCATTCTGTCAGTGGGCCCTGGCCACTTGGGGCAGCACCGGGTTGAGGTCAGAAAGACCTGCATTCTGGCGAGCCTCCCCCGAGCTGTGCGACCGGGCCATCCCCCACCTCTCCCTCCATGTCTGGGTGCAGTGGGCCTGTCCGGGCAGCGTGGGTGGGCCGGCGAGGGGTGCTCCTGCCTGTCCTCAGTCTCCCGCTCTCTATATGGGGGGCCAGTTCAGGTGGTGGGCCCGTTTCCCAAGGCTGATTGTTTCACATGGCTTCAGAATTCCTGGACACTGTGCCATCCACATCCTGCATTCCTGCCCGTCAATGCTCACGGTCCCTTTGCCTCACAGGAGACCCCCAGCCCAACCCCCACCCCTTGTCCTCAGAGGAGAAGACCCGGCCTCTGATGGAAAGCCATGCACAGAAACTCCAGGACCGACACTCCCTGGGCAGAGGGGGTCCCTGCAGCCCCCCAGAAGCCAGCGTGAGTCGAGGCTTGGCCCTGCACCCTCTGCAGGCAGAGTGGAGGCCTGGCCTTGCTTTCTTGGGCTCTACCATGTGGCTTTGGATGGGGGTGTCACCCTGTCCACCAGATGAGGGTATGGATGGGATGGGGCCTGTTTGGCCCTTCCAGGTGGATTTGTCCGTTGAGGGGTCTTTGGAGTCCACGGGGGGCGGGTAATCTGGTAAGTGGGGGTCTCCAGGGCCATCTTTAAGGGGATGGTCTTTGTTCCTTACTGGAGTCACGGGAGCACAGGGGCTTTATCCACGGACCGACGCCACACCCCGGCTGTGGTCTTGCAACACATTTCCAGCAGGTGGCTGAAAGCAGCATGAGCCCAGCAGGGTCGGAATTGGGGCTGGATTTTGCCAAGAGCCCCAGGGAGGAGCCCCAGCAGATGGAAAGCTGGCCGTCAAGGGAACAGAGGTGTGAGGTTTGGAGGGCTGCCTGGGCCGGTGGGACCCTTGGGCAGGGGTCAGGGCCCTGGGGCATGGAGATGCCTGTCCTCTCCTGGAGAGAGCCTCACTCCCTCCTGGCACCCCTCGTCCTGGCCTGGGCCCCCTGTGCACCCCCAGCCCTCCCCATGCCCTCCTGAGTCTGACTCCCTCTGTGGAAACAAAGATGTCACCTGGTGAATTGGCCCAAGACCCAGTAGTGGGGGCAGCAGGCGGGGCCCTTCCAGGGCCTCTGAGCCTCCGAGCCTCTCAGATGGCAACACCCCCAGAGACCTGATCCAGCAGGGACTGAGGCCAGAACCCCTAAACACAGGGCCCCTGCCCCCACCCGGGGAGTCCTGTGCTCTGACGGTCCCTCCCTAGTGGGGCAGATGCCTGGCAGGCCGGTTGTCAAGCTTATGAGGTAGTTGAAGGCCCTGCAGAGGCCCTGAGCTGTGGTGAGGAGGCTGGGGGGATGGGGCCCTCTCCGGGGAGCCCCCGGAATATCCCCACAAACATGCCTGCAGGATAGAGACCTGTTGGCAAGAGGACACCTGCAACCCCTTCTCTCGGCCGGAAGCTGCCCCGCCGACCTCTGCTCCAGGTGATCCCCCCCCCTCAAAGGCCCCGCCTTGCACAAGGAACAGCAAATGCTCACTTAAGGGTCATCCAAGACCAGCTCCTCAGTCAGGGCCAGCCTCTTCGTTTTTGCGGGCAGCGGCAGCTCTGAGGCTGGATGTGCCCAGACGTGATTCCCTTCCGTGTGGTGCTGGGTGTGGTCGGGGGCTCAGCCACGCTGATGCTGTGGGCATTTCTTCCGCCTCAGGGGCCGTGGGCTGTGGGCTGCCGCTTGGCCCTGCGCCGCAGGGGTGACAGAGTGTGAGGACTGTGGGCCTCACCCCCAAACCCCCTCTGTCTGCAGCTCCCGCGCCACCCAGCCCGCGTGCGGGCAGCCCCCTGGAGCTGGGCCCCGAGTCTGAGTCTGAGTCCTCTCCCCGGAGCTGCCTGGGGTCCTGTGCCTCCTCCTCTGTGAGCGGGCCGTCCTGCCACTCTCTTCAGGAGTTTCAGAAGGTGTCCGCCACTCTGGTCCAGCTTTCCCTGTCAGACTGGGAAGCTGGGGACCCCCCCGACGCAGACCCTGGCTGGTCTGGGGAGTTCTCTCCTCAGGACTCCTGGGGGCTCCACCGCGGCGGGGGGCAGGGGGCCCGGGAGAGGGCGGAGGGCAGCGGGGCCGGTCCCCGGCGCGGCTCCCCCTCGGACGCAGGAGGCTCAGAGACAGGCGGAGGCCCCCAGCAGGCGGGCTGGCTGCCGCCTCTTCCGGATGCCCCCTCTTCGAGGTCAGGGTCAGAGCTGTCAGAGGTGTCCAGCGAGCTCTGGGACGAGGAGAACCTGCTGGAGCCAGGCACTGGTGCTGAGCCAGCCTCAGGGCGCTCCTCCCCTGCGGGAGGCTCATCCCACCTGGAAAATGGTGGGGCGCGCTGCTCTGCACCTCCTTCCTTGGGCCTTGGGGAGGGGCAGGAAGCTTCTGGAACCAGCGGGAGCCTGATCAGTGGATTAAATACAGGAAGAGCCAAACAGGTGTCGCCGGAGGCTGCCTGCATGGCACTCCCATCCAAAGCCTCTTCCTCCAGTGACTTAGACCTGCCCTTTTCCTCTCCTTCGGGGTCCCTGGCATCTGAAGTGGTGGATTTTGGTGAAGGAGGAGACACTGGGCCTCTGCAGGCCTCAGATGGCTGCCCAGAGGGGCCCGGGGACGCTGACCTGAGACTATCCAATGACGGGAAACCCCAACGGGCCTGGTCTGAGCCTGAAGTCCCCGTGAACCTGCGGGCTCCTCCTAGGGACCCTGGTGGTCTGGTAGCCCGGACACCCAAGGGCTGGGCGCCTGGGTGTAGGGAGAGAGGAGACGCCCCTGACTCCCCCGCCCCAGAGGAAGCCTGGTCCACCCTGGCCAGTGGGGTCTTGCCTGAGATCCTGTCCCCCGTGGATGACGTGCTGTCCTACGGCAGTGCCGACCTTCCATCCTCCACCCACAGGGATGCCAGCCTCCCTCCTCTGCCTCCCACCCTCCCAGCAGAGAGGGAGGCCAACGCCACCAGCCTCCACTCAGAAGACTTCCCTCCCCCACCTGAAGATGCCATGTCTCCTGGGGGCTCGCTGGGCTCCCCCGGGGAGGATGCCTCCATCAAAACTGGGGAGTTGCCCTCCTTGTCTGAGGAGGGCCTGCCTGAGCCGCTGTCCCCAGGGCCCCAGGAATCAGGGCTCTGCCTGGAGGTGGGCGGACAGGGTGGAAGCCTTAGGGACAAATTGGGTGAATCATGTTGTGATGGGGGAGCCCAAGCTGTGGGCAGCCAGTGGTCTGAGCCAGCTGGCTGGCTAGGGTCCCCCTTGTGTGGGGGGGCAGGTGATGCCACGGGGGGGCTCCCAAGGCTGCCAGTGCAGCCCCCAAGCCCATCCAGAGTGGCCCCTGAGGCCGGGGAGGGTCTGCCAGTGTTGTTGGCGGCTGGAGGTACAGGGCTGTCTGGCACCGGGCAGGGCGACCCAGCTCCTGCTTTGGGCGCAGGCCGCTGGGTGGACGCACCCAGCATGGAGAGAGCCGAGGTGGTGGAGTTGGTCTCCAGCCAGCTCACCAGAAGGATCCTGTGCGACTCGCTGGCTGTGCTCTCGGAGATGGCCCAGCCGGCAGCCCGCTGATGGAGGACCTGGCGTGTCCCCGAGGCTGACCTGGCGTGTCCCTGAGGCTGATGAGACTCCTGAGGAGACAGTGCAGGGCCCGCGGTGACACACAGACCCCTGTGACGTTGCTGTGTCTTGTACCTGCGTGTGCCGGCACATGCGGGAGGCTCCGGAAGCCTGGACCCCTGAGGGCAGAGCCGCCATTCAGAATAGCCACCTGCCGCTGGTCGTGAGGGTGGTCACCTGACGGTAGGCAGAGGACCAGGCACTGGCGTGACATCAAGTGCAGTGGGCTCTGCATTCTTCTGGACGCTGGGTCCATTGCTTCCAGTGGGCACCTGAAAGGGTCCCTGTTCCACAGAGTTCAAGAGGCAGGAAAGTGAAAGGTTGTGCAGGGAGTGTCCGGAGGCTGGCTGGGCCAGGACAGATGTGGAAGTCATGGATTTTAGAGAGAACAGTCTAGAGGAGCTGGGAGGGAAGCAGCTCCCAGGCTGAACCGGGAGCCAGGCCGCGAGACCACCTGCCAGGACAGAGAGCCATCCGGAAAGGCCAGGGGAGAGAGCGCGGTTCTGGGGACGTGGGGCAGCCCAGGGTGGAGGTGGGCGGGGGGCACGTCTGGACTCACAGCCCCAGCTCTGCTGGTTTCTGACACCCAGGCCTGCGTGTGGGGCAGCCCACCTGTGCAGATTAGAGGAGCGGCCAGCTCAAGGGCCAAAGCTCACCGGCCAAGCCTCGGCCTGTCCTCTGGCGGTAGGTGGGCCGAGGCCTCCCTGAGTGCTCAGGACACCTTCTGGAAGACACCAGAGCCCCTTCCCTGGTGGCCGTCCAGTGTTGAATGAGCCCTCGGGGACGCAGGTGGTCTTAAGGGGTGTTGGCTGATCCTTCAGGACTTGGCTTCTCCCATCCAGGGCCTCAGGCTTCCCCAGCTTTAAGAGAGGAACTCAGTCACTTGACTGCATTTATGGACCCCTGGGAAGACCCACATTTTCGCGACTTGCAGGTTAGGTGGGAGACGTCTCCAAAGCTGGCCTGGCAGAGCCCTGAGGTCGGCCTGCACCCTCCACCTTCTAGCTCTGGAGAGGGGCCTCCTCCAGGCAGCCCTCCATCAGGCCCCAGCTCTGGGGCAGCCACGTGTCCAGGCCGGCTGCTGGCCAGACCCACCTTTGTCACACGCTGGCTCATCTTGGCTCAGGGCTCGGGGGAGGCAGAGCTAAGACACTTCACGCTGCCTTCGCCCAGGAGAGGCTTGGATGGGGGTGGGGGGTGTTCACGCTCTGTTCACGCTCACACTCTGTAGACACAATTTCCAAACAGCTTCTGAGCTACAGCTCCCTTATTGATTTCCTTCTGGTTTTCTGAACAAATTAGTCTGTAATTTTTTATTTTTCTCTATTTATTGCTGACCCTTTTGGATTTACGAGGCCATGTGAGAGGAATTATGTATTTTACACACACGCGTTTGGCATGGTAATAAATCTCCTGCATCAAAACCCTGCAGATTTGCCTCAAACTCGATCGCCCCCTTTCTGGGGCGTGGGTTGGCTGCGCTGCCAGCTGGACCCTCCCGAACGACCTTCCCCGGGTGCCAGCAGGAGACACGCTTGCGCCAGCGGCCCCGCGCCCGGGACAGCGGGGTCCGAGGGAAGCCGCGCTCTACAGTAACTTGGATTGTTCAGCTCAGCACCATGGATGGTGTCCGACGCCCTCAGTCTGAGCCGGCCCCACGCGTGCGAGCATGGCTCTAGCGTTTGGGTCTATTGAGCCGGCGAAGTTCCACACGGGGACTGCCGGCTGCCGGGGCCTCGCGCACCTTGGCTCCAATCCCTACTAACCTCTTGGGCCGATAAATCTTGATACCAGCCTCCAGAGAAGTCATTATCTTTCATAGGAAGTGATTATTTCCCAGTTAAAGCCCACATTTAATTTTCCAGTGATCTGTCTCTTTCAGCTGCCCCGCACTGTACCCTCCTGCATAAAATGCCCCTGAATGCACCTTTGGTCCTTCAAATCCCAAACCACAGGACCAGCTTACGAGGCCTTTTGATCCCTTACCCTGAGTGGCCGTAACAGCCGCTCCTATAAAATACAGCTGAGGGCCAAGAGGGCAGGTGTGGAGCAGTGACGGCTGCGGGCAGTCCGGGGGAACACCGCAGCGCCGTCTGGGTGGTGCCCTCCTGTTCCCGGGGCACCTGGCCCCCCGGAGGTGGGAGGTGAGTGAGTAGCTGGTCCACCGGGGCCAGGTTGTCTGCTGTTGGATGAGCACCCCAAGCAAACCCAGTTGAGGAGGTCAGACTTGTCTGTGCCGGCTCCCCAGGCAGCTTCCGGGCCCCAGAAGAAGGTCTGCAAGTCCCACATGGCCCACCCTCTGCCAGGCATCAAACCCCAAGCTCTTCCTCTCCATTTGTCCCCCAACAGCGTACCTTTGCCCCCAGCAAAGGCCCTCCCCCATCCCCGTGAGTACAGCTGGGAGCAGGTGGTGGTGTTTGCAAAATGAGACGCGAGGTTTGGGGCACCAGGACAGGGTCGTGGGCACGTGCACACACACCCCTGCACCGTGGCCCTCCGTCCAACGGCTGCGCCCGCCCAGGCTGGAACATGACCCAGCAGGGCTGCTGTGATGCTCAGAGTCTGTCCCAAATCCTGCTCTCCACCTCTTCCTGGGGGCGTGGCAGGGACCCCTGTCCCCCTGCCTCCGTGTCCACCGTCCCTGCTCTTACTGTGAGGACACACAGGATTGTCCCCACAGGCCCCGTCCCTGGTGTGTGGCAGTGTACTGGAATAATCCTCCTTCTAGAAGTTTTCCTGAGAATGTGTGGTGTTCCTGAGCAGCCCCGCCTGGACACCAAACAACAGCTGGAGGGCAGGGCCCGCTCCGGAGTCTGGGCGGCAGCCGGATTCCTCTCTCTGCCCTGTGCAGAGCCTGCCCCGTTGGTGGGGGGCAGAAAAGGCTCAGCGGCTCTGAGGAGCATGGGCGGCCCCGGGAGCAGGAAGGAGCTACGCCTTTGCCCGGCCCCTCCTGAGCCCCAGGGGCCCCCAGGTTGGACACCCTCGCTGTCGAATTTGTGCCGTGTGCCCTTAGCCACAGTACCTGGCCCTCCGAGCCTCAGATTCCCCCTCTGTAAAACGGGAACACCAATCCCTCACTGTATCAGCTCCGAGATGCAGCCCTCCCCACTGTCGAATGCCTGTGAAATCAGAGAGCATCCTTGTGTCGGAGGATCTGACAATTACCCTCAGCTGCGTGTTTCCGCCTTAGCAGCACAGTCGCCCGGCCTGCACGCCCATGGAGGGAGGGCAGGTGCCTCTCGAAGACCGGTGGGGGTGCCAGGGGCTGTCGTGGGGCTTGGAGCAGGGCCTGGAAGACCAACAGAAGCTGTGATGCTGCCCCATTTCTCAGATTCTAAGATACAATCCCCCACACACCTTGTTTCAATGCTTCTGAATCTGGCTGCATTTTACAATCGACATGTACATTGAAGTGGTGCAGTCTCTCCGTGCTCGGCTAAGCCGGGTGCCACGGCTGGCTTGATGTCACCCCAGAGCAGGTTTGGGGTGAAGTATTACATGGCCATGCTGACTGGCCTCCAGTGGGGCTCACGGTGTCAGCGGCACCAGCCTGCCTTGCCCCCGTGGGGAGGGACATCCTGCTGCCACCTGTCTGATGAGACCTGAGGGAAAGGGACCCCCACAGCAGGGCGGGGGGTTCGGCCAGCGCACCACAGAACAGGTGACTGGCCTCCTGCCGGCCGAGGAGGGACCAGGAGAACCCCAAAGGCCTCTCAGTGGGGCCACATGCACCCCCACTGGCTGCCCCAGAGAGCCCCCCTCTGGCTCCCTCAGTGCCTGGATGGGGACATACAGGCCCCGGGGTAGATTTGTGACGGTGGGACTTGCCCCTGGGGAGGGAGGGGCACAGTCCCTCCAGGTGGCTTTGGGTGTTTGCTGTGGACTGAACTGTGTCTCCCCAGAATTCATACGTTGAAGCCTTAACCCCCAGTGTGCTGGTGCCAGGAGGTAGCTTTGGGAGATGGTCAGGGTTTGATGGGGTCATGCAGGCGGGTCCCCACCCTGGTATTAGTGCCCTCATGGGAAGAGGCCCCAGAGAGCTCGCTCTCCCTCTGTCCACGAGCACACACAGAGGAAGGGCCCCAGGAGGACACGGCGGGAAGGTGGCCGGCTGTCCACAAACCAGGGAGTGGGCCTCACTGGAAGCCGACCCTGTGTACCCTGACCCGGAACGTCCAGCCTCCTGAACAGTGAGAAACGAATGTCTGCTGTTCAGTAAATGCCCGGTCTGTGGGGTTTGTGAGGCACCCTTAAGCAGGTCCTAGTCTGCAGCCTCACTAGTGAGGCCCCACCAGACCTCCTCCCCTCTAGTTCTGGGCTCCCTCTCTTCCCCTGGCTCACTCTGCTCCAGCTGTTCTTCCCATGGGCTTGCCCTTCTACCTCAGGGCCTTTGCACATGCCCTCCCTCTGCCTGGGCTGCAGAAGAGCCAAGAGGCCTGAAACATAAGAATTTGACCAGGCCTGTGACTGTTGTGGACTCGTGTCTGCTCTGTGACCCACTTCCTTTCTTCTTTGTTTTGGTCCCACAGTTCAGAAAAAATGTTGATATGCATAACAATTTCACGAATAGCAATTAAAAACCATGTCTGCTGTTGAATTAAGCAAAAAGTCATATTGATAGGAGCTGAGGAATCCATAGGTCATCAGGGAGCTGGGCGGGAGCAAGGCTGTACCAACAAGCATCTGTGGGTCAGGCTCTGTATGCCGAAAACCGGACATGCAGCCACCGAGCAAAGAATCCACCAAGGGGCCTAAAGAAGACACAGAACGTTGAAAATAGAGTGTTAAGTCTAAACCATGGGCCCGGATCACAGGAAGCTAGGGCAGAGCGCCATGCCCACCGGGTCCTCGTGTCACCACCTTACATAGAAAAGCCCCTAAACCGACCAGTGGGAAAACGGTCACCAGGGGCCGTTGCCCAGAGAAGGCTCCTAAACCCCCTGGACCAGGCA